AGCCCTCTGTTAAAGAGTATTTATGTCTTTTATGTAATACCTAGGGTTTCCTAAGGTTTTCCTAACTCTTATTATAAATAGTGTGACAGTCTAACACAATTGTTAAGCCTTCTAATTTTTTTACTTTAACAGAAATACAATTTTCTTTGAGAGTTTGAGGACCGCAGATTACATGAATTAATTTTGGAGATAAGCTATCTACATCACCGTGCATGAAAAAAGTATACGCTTGCCGTTCTTATCCATTCAACTATTCAAAGTAGTTTATTTTTTATTAATTAAACAAGATTGTTTTCTACCATGCACAACGCATTAATGTAGTTACAGCCTTAGTTAATTAATTTTAAGAAAAATGACTTGTTTTCTACGAGGTTAAACTATGTAATAGTGGCATTATTAGAAAATATTTTCGAAAATAATGTTTCTACAACATTTGATTTGTGAGTTTGTGTCGACTAATAGCACTATTAACCAATGCCTAGAGATGGAACCAAATCATATTTGAAGAACTTGGTAGCATTTGAGTTGACCAGCAAGGAGATAGTCCTGCTCCATTAGGCGCGTCCGCAAGAGAATTATGGGTGTTTAATGGATATTATCGAGGAAAGACCATATTTTAAATAATGATATGATGAGAAATATGTGGTTAAAAAGTAAGAAAAAGTTATTGAAGTGATGAAAAATATGTGGTTAAAAATGAATTTTTAAAGAATGTGTGTCAAACATGGGCAGATGTACTATTCAAGCTTTTTCTAATATCAAGTTTATTCATCTTCGTGTTTCAAATAACATATCTTATTTCTATTGTATTTTGAAGGCGTATTTGCATGCAATCGTAGTGGAGATGAATACGTCTTAAGGAAAAAGACATAGCCTTAAAAGTTTATTTGAATTTCAATTTTTTTTTGAAGTTTTTCAAAGTTCAAAGTTCGTCATATCCATCTCCATTTTCGCCCTTCTCGAAGATTTTACCAACAAGTATTGAACTTTTTAATTTAACGTAATAAAATTTAAGAAAAAATTATGATTTGACTTTGAACAAGGAAATTAGCATAGTATATTTATGTTTTACTGAGATGAAAGTGATACTCAGTCATAATTCGTTAATGAGACCGAGTTTTACTGACCCTTTCAAAAAAATTTGGATTGTGTTGATATTTACTTTGTCAAACTTGCCGTACCTTTTGGACACTTTAAAATTCAAAAAAATTTGGATTGTGTTGACATTTACTTTGTCAAACTTGCTGTACCTTCTTAATGTTGTGCCAAAATGTCAAAACATATATTAGCGTCTTCCGATTTGTTAAAAAAAGTTTACAACCACAATCCGAGTGACGTTAATGTGACGTTAAGCCCCTGTTTGTCTACCATTTTCCCAAAAATTATTTTCTACGGTAAACAATCTCCACCACATATTCACCTAATAAAATATTCTACACATAAACCAATAAAATTACTTTAAATTTCAACCACACATTCTCCAAAAAATACTATTCATTACACTATTTTTCTCCCCATGATGGTAGACAAACGGGGGCCAAATGATAGGTTAAATTAAATAAATAATTTAATTTTACCTTTCATTTAACATATCATTTAGAGTCACCTATACTGAGTTGTAATCCCAGTAGATCTACATAGCATTATTCAGAGTTTTTAGAGGGTGACAAGATTGAAAGAGCGCGTTGAATAGGAAGGCGTCAAATATGTTTACCCAAAAACTATTTAAAATGGAAATTTAATTAGGAGAGCTATATGTTTTACTGGTCTAAATCTAAACAATTTTGACTGTAATTTCCAATATTTCATTATTCCAACCATTAGTTAGAACTTGCACAAGTTGGCTTATGACTTTCAAGAAATTATTTAGGGAGTAGTTGATGTAGATTTAAAATTGATTTTTTGAAGAATGTATAATTAAAAAGTAGGAAAAATTATGAATTTACGTGCAAAAGTACTTATTTGAAGAATTGTGTAAAGAAATTTAAAGATTAATTTCAGTGAATTTTTGTGAGACATGCTACATGTACATAGGGGTTGACGCCCGTGTGCATTTAACATTTCTCTCTTTTTTTAGGTTCTAGCAGAAGCTGGACTGTCCATTTTAACTGTCTAATCACTCAACTTGATTAACGCTTCAATGAAATTCAACAGTCTTTTCCTTTTTTAGCTTCTGTTTATAAAAATGTTCTTGTCATCCAGCTAGCTTATCGACTTGGGTTTACTGCATCATCACTTGCTCAAGTTTCTGAACATAATAAAACAAAAATACAATTACTTCATACAAGGACTTTGTTTAATAACACTAATCTTGAAATTCAATAGCTCATTATGAGCTTTAAATGGATCATTGTGTTTATTTGAGCTAAATAGATTCTGATACCACATATCTTAAAATTCAACCTTACTATGAAAAGTAACCCAAGTCTTGTATATTTATCTTATCTTTAGCCTCCGTTTGGCCCTAGTATCCCAAAAAAGTATTTTTCTCACTTATTTTCAACCACATAATTCTATAAAATAATATTACACGTAAATCAAAAAAAATTCTTTCTTTTTCAACCACACATTTTCTAAAAAAACCTATTCCAAAAATTATAATTTCAAATAATAGGGGCCAAACGGGGACATAATTGATGCCATATTTAGTGTTCAACATGACCAATAGAAAATAATCTCCTGTCCATTGTGGACAAAAGTTATAATGCTCACCTGCTGATGTGGTGTTATCACGTCAATTGGTCAAACTTTTTTTTCTTTTAAAAAATAAAAAATACGGCTTGACCGTTGATGTGGCAACGCCACATTAGCAATTGTTATACTGCCCATTGCGGACGGAAGATCAACTCTGACATTGCCAAATATAAATAAGGGTTATGCTATGGGTACATAACCCACAACATAACCCTTCACATAAGGGGCACATGGCACCCCTCCAATGGAGAGACGTCATGTGGTCCTTATGTGAACCCTTATGGGAAATGCTATGTACCAATAGCATTTCCTTATAAATAAAGAACACGTCAAAAGTTCTGGATTTTAATTTAGACTTTCTTGTACTCTTTCCAATTTCAAACAAACAAAGATCAGAGGTATGAGATATGACCCTATTCAGAACTTCTAATATACAACATCTCCGCTAACTTATCCAATAACCGCATCTCCATGCCACAGTACTTTAATACAGATAACTTAAGTCATGACCTTATTCATCTGTTACAATTACGCAACACAATGGGCAACTAGAAACATTGAAGATGCATTAAAAGACTAGAGATGTTGACACCGTGCACCTTCAGCTGTGAGAACTCTATTGTTTTGAACCACTGGGAGAAGGTAACCGGATTCTTTGCTCGTGGGCCATTTTGAAATGTTCTTGTCTTCATTTTTCCACAGCTTTGAAACCATCAAGTTAAATCCTCTTTTCACATAAGTTACCAAAAGCGTGACAAGCTCTCTGAAAATTCAGAGAATACTTGTTAGTAAAGCATATTGATTAAACGATGCATAATGGAAACTATATTGGGATGATAGTTAAACATATTGCCTAGCACTTTGACTCCTCTTGCTAAACCAAGTATAAAGATGACAAGACTAGGGGAGAAGCAACGGCAATGAACAGATAAAATGGACATGAATTATTGAAGCACCATAGTTTACGAGCTTCCACTTTGAGTAATTAGACACAGAATCCAATTTGAAAGATCCTAGAGCTTCACATCCCAAAAATTGCAATCAATCAAATCTTCACTGTTTCTTTATGTACTTATTTCCTTTTAAGTTTTAACAGGTTTTCATCATTTAACACTCAGGTTTATCAAGTATTCATCTATTTTACAAACTGAGGATCTGGCTGTAAAAATACTCTTTTGAACATAAATTCCTCAATGAAAAGAAAGGGCAGAGTGTAAAGCTTGACATGATGTAACATTCAATGTACCACAAGTACTACAAAAGAAAACCAGATCCAGTGTTTCATCAGTCAAGGGATACAGAGGTAGCAGAATTCTATGAAGTTGTTGCTGGGTGTAGAATACTCTAATTACTTTAAGAGTGCCATTTTCTGCAAATCTTCAAATCAAGCAATATTGAGGACACATAAATTTGCCGATTGTTTCTTCCTTATTATATTTTATTTTAAAAATCCCATTTGATGATTCGTTCGGGTCCACCAGGCAGCGTGGGGGGATATGGCATCATAAGAAAATAATTTTAATTTTAAGTTATCCTTAGAAGATCATGTGGGGAAGCTTTTACTCACAGGGGCGAGCAAGGAGATCGACCACCATTTACATAGTAGATGAACAAATATGAATCATAATGCTGCCCATTGATGAAGTAAAAATTGTACAACCGTCGCATGCACTGGAAGGACATTTTCTGGTACAAATGGATGGCTGCATTATTATATGAAATCACATGCAGATAAACAGCACGGCAAGTTGGGATGCTTGAGGCATATTTTATGACCTTGTGGATAAGTGAACTAGCTGAAAATAAAAAACCAGAGAATCTTCAGAAAGAAACAATTTTCAAAAAGGAAGAGGAAAATTATTCCGAGGAGAAAACATGATGGGGTTGTGTTTGTGTGTGTGTGTGTGTGGAAGAATTACCTATTCCAAGATTTCTATGAGATTCTACAACTCCCAGCGTCAAGATGTATATTAGTGTTTGGTCTGGTTTTGACGAGTCAAAACTGATCAAATCTTCTACCTGCGGTGCAAATGTGAACTTGATAGCATTACTAGCAGAAATTCCTTAAAATTATAATCATTACTAGTGATGCTACATCTAATGGAAGTGAAATCTTGAATGGGATATCAGTTTCCACGCGCAGTCAGTAATATTCTGGCCTGTATTTGGTTCAAAATGATACTTTTATGTACAAGGCTTAATTAATTTATTATTAGTAGATCAAAGCTCACCTCACTTTCTTTTGCTGAAACCACTCTGGCAGTCACAAATCCAATAAGCTCATTGCTCTGAGCATTGGGCCGACTGCAATCAACAGCTCCCCAGCACACAATATCACGACCATAAACAGCATTGCGGAAGAATTCAGATTCATACCTAAAAAGATCACTAACTTATTCCCAATAAACTATCAAATTGTGTCATCACAAACTTTCATTATATGCAAGGACACAAGATCTTCTGACCTGATAGGAAACAGATCACCGTGAATTTTCTCAAGAACCTCTAAATCTGATGGTCCAATAGGCCTATAAGATATAATTGGACGGTGAGGGGCATTGAGCTTTACCATTGATGAATGTAGTGTCAATTGCCAGCAAATATTTGACGTATATGCAAGATTTGTATGCAAAATAGAATCTTCCATCTATATAATATTAGTCAACATAGCCATGCAGCCTCAGGAAGCCTGAAAAAAAGTTATCACGTTCTAATTCAGAAACCACAAAGACACTGACATGGTTAATTAAGAAGCCATGCAGCCTAAGGAAGCCCAACAAAAAAATATATCATATTCTATTTGAGAAACCACAAAGACCAGCACACACAAAATTAAGAAGCCAAGTCTCATAAACGAAAGTCTCAAATTAGCATCATGCTTTTAATATCTCTGTTTTATACAAGATATAAAAAGGAAGTAAATTGACTGATGCAACAGTACTGCCATTTCATCCTTCATATGAAAATAACTTAACATGCCATATTCAATATCATCTTAGTGGCTATTGCTTCTGGTGACATGTGAGCTTCATCAACAAATTCATGGCCCAATTTACGCATCCAAAGAGAACAAATGAAGGGAGGATCGAAACAATGGTCTCAGATGGAGTTTAACTGATGAATATTTAATATCATGACCCAATTCATTCACAATAAGAGCTGATTGCGTGAGGATTTAAATGGTACCTTATTTTATGGCATGTGGGTTAAGTACGTATTATTCTCGTGATTATGGGAGGATTGAAAAAGATGCACTTGGATGGAACTTAATTGATGGCAACTAACTGTAGTGAATTGCACTTCATTGATTTTGATCACAAGTTTCCATTTACAGCTTTAGTCTCTGCGAGGTTCATAAACTTTGTTGAGGAGTCATAAGGCAGTTACATTGAATAAATCTGTGAAGTGTAGAGGCTTACAAGTCTCTTTCAATCCAAACCAGCATTCAATTTTGAATCCATAATTTGTACTACACTTCCATGATTGTTTCAGGTCATTTAATACCCAAAATAAATTTGCGAGGGAATGTTGGCATGTATTTTTCTATCCGAACACTATGAGTATTTTAAATCATAAGCTGTTGATAACAATACTACAGTGCATGCCATGGATAACAAAACGTAAACCATGTCAGATTGAATCTACCTAAATGCAAAAGACAACTCCACTAAAGAAGGTAAACTTGGTCATAAAACCGACAAGAGAACCAAGGAACACAACAGAGATGAAGGCTAGTACTTTGATCACGGTCACTTGAACTTGCAAATCGTGAACTCCTAAAGGATAGCAGTATACATTCTGCAATAAATTTGAGAAAAGCGCAAGTGGCTATTAAACTATCTTGTAACACGAGTGGTGTAGAGAAAGGATCCTTGACCGCTGGAGAGTTGATGAAGGCACAGGAACAGTCTAAAGCCCGACGGTTAACTGCTTCTAAATGTTCGCAGGTGAGGAACACACTTGTTTAAAAATTAAATCATACGTCCCTTTAAGTTGTAAACATGATTTTCTTTGTTTCCTTTTATAGCTTGTTTAAATTGTTTGTTTTAAAACCGTTATTGTCAAATGGATTCAATGAATCCTATCCCTTTTGGTAGGATTGTTAGTTTTCTTCTTTCCTTGAAGTGTTGCCACAAGGATCAGCCTTATAGGTTGCACAGTATCTGTTTTCAGCTGACTGAAGCCCAACTTTTTAAATCCCTTACGTAACTTTCACAGGCAAATAATCCCTATTCTTTATCCATCGAGTTCATAGCAACATCAGGATTATGGGATTTCCTGTTACTATTCTGGTCAGATTTGGTTAGAAAGTACATTTTGTTCCCGCCCTTTACTATCTTGCTTGGTGTTAATTTGCTTCTTTCCTTGAAGTGTTACCACAAGGATCAGCCCTTATAGGTTGCACAGTATCTGTTTTCAGCTGACCGAAGCCCAACTTTTCAAATCCCAAACGTAACTTTTCACAGGCAATTAATCCCTATTCTTTATCCATCGAGTTCATAGCAACATCAGGTTTATGGGATTTCAATTGTATCAAACTTGAAATTATACTTATAAACCAGGAAAATCAGTAAATCAAGAACCTCAAAAACTAGCAGCCACTATAATCAAGTAAATCAGAACAAGCAGGCGCAAAATAAATAAATAAATAAATATCTATTACTTTTAAGGAAAAAATGGGAAAGAGTCTGGAAAACTTACCAATCGACGAGTCTGTTTCAACCCCAATGCCTTTCCTTTGCTGCGAATAACACGGCCAAAGAGGATCGAGCCGCAGTTATAGACCTTATTGAATTTCACAACTCGGTCTGGCGATCGAAATTAGGCTTGATTGATCGATACTTTCCTTCTCTTATCCTAGGATTCCAGGGAACAACCCTTCTACGTCTCTCTAAAACTTTTCGGATTTCTTGTAACGCGACTCTGCGCGTATGATGTAACAGTAAAAGAATAAAAATTATTACGAGAAGAAGGGGAGTGATGTAGTTATTTTTGGAAAAACAATTCTCCAGTTTTAAAATCTTTTGTATGCAATTTTCATATATTTATAAATACAGAAATAAAGAGAACGATTACGTTAGATACACATTCTTGTTAACATCTTTCATTACATTCTCGCTTACGTGATATAATCCGGGCAGAAAAGAGAAAAATTGTTAGAGAAATCAAGTGTGATAATCATGTCACATGACAGAGTGCAAGAATGAGTGTATACAAAGTCTATAAGTAATGCTATGTAACATTGTTTATTATTTAATGTCACATTAACGTCATTTAAATTGAAATTGTAACTTTAGTGGAGTTAAATAGAATTACTCAAGAATGTATATGTAGCATAATTGTAAATAGAAATATGCATGAATAGTCAAGTTGGCCAAATAGAAGAATTTGGAGCGCTATAGGTATTCGATTGATATAAAATTAGATAAGAATATTTTAAGTAGAATCCCATTTAAATTTAGTCGGAATTTTTAGGTTTCTATATAAATTCATAATTAGTGATGGCAATAAGGTAGGAGAGCGCATGTCACTCAACCCAACTAAAGGCAAAGGTGACGTGGAGTGAATGCAAGGGCAGTAGCAGGATGGGACGAGGTTGGGGTATACTGTCCCGTTGAACTTTTTCCAATTTTTCTTGTAAATTCTACAAGCAATTTGGAAATTTGACTAAATAACTTGGATAATCGATTGGGGTTTGGACATAAATATGCGGGTTGGGATGAGAAAATCCTTGTCGCAAATGGGGTGAGCACTATGGAGATCAAGTTTGGAAGGGCAAATTGCTATTCCTACTCGTTTATTGATACACACGAGAGGAGGACTTAAACCTCACCTCAAAGCTATAATTAGAGGAGATTGTGAAAATTTGACAAAGAAACATAAACTTTGAGAGACTATCTCCAAGTTAATCATCATGACCTACTAGTTCGGCCCCTTGCATAGTCATAAAATATTTCACTCATTTTCCTTGGTTAGTTAATAATCGGTGAAGCGGTTCGATTTAGGCCCTGTCTGGGCCTGATTTCTTGCATTTTTTGGAACGTTGAGCCGCAATTCTTGACTGACTTGGTGAGAGAGTGGGCCCCAACTTTTCTTAAGCAACGGTCAAAAAAATGCCAATTTGATAAATTTTAAGCTGGCACAGACAAGGTCTTAGATTAAAGGGGAATTAGAGGTATGTATAAATAATGATTTATCTATTCACGTAAAATAGAGTTATTAGTCTTTAGAAAAATAAGTAATCCAAATCAAAGCGATAGTTTTTGGCAACTTTTCTCCCAGCCCATCATCAACCATCTTATTGGCAAATCATGCTTTTGAAAGCAGTGAATTGTGAAAAATGAGAAAGAGGCCTAATGTAGATAGACAAAACGAACAAAGGGCTTACTTTCTTAACTCTCCTTAAAGCAAAATCTTTAATGACTACAAATTCCAAAATGCCCTCAGGGGTTACAAACTTTAGTGTCTTCACCACATCAGTTTTTTGTACTTGAGAAGCTTGCCTCTTCAGATCTCAACTGTATACAAAATATTTGGACATTTATCCTTTTGAATCAACTTAAAGGAAGTCACCAGCCATGAACCGATGGCTCAATACAGCGTCTGCAATTGGCCTCTTCCGAAAGTCACGATTTAACATAGCCTACATCCAACAGAAAAAAGAACTGAAGACATTATTCCAAGTAATCGTCGAGAAAACGATCTTTCTTGAATTCTTATTTCTCATATACTAGATTAGCTAAACAAAGCAGACAATTCACAACCTGCCCCACCCCCTCCCCTAATGCAGACAGAGCAACAAATATGGAAGCATGACAGAAATTCTTTTATTGAAATAGAATAAACTCAATCATCAGACAGACACAGGATAAATGAAAGTAACGAAAGGGGAGAGGGACTATGTAAACAACGAAATTGTTCAATCTTTAATGAAGGATGCCTTGTGTATGATGGTAGTTTCAGCACTTCAAAGAAATGAAAGCAATATTAGTCATCATATTTACGTGGTCACTGAACCTGAAGTAACTCCCAACCAGCACCAGCACCAAAATCCAAGAACTTGACAGCTTCTAGCAAACGGTCATCAGCCAAACAGTATCTGCCGAAAAGGAAAAATGTCGAGAACAAATAACAAGCAATCAATGGGCGACACAGAAACTTTAATACTTATCATGCTAGCACACAATTATAATGTCAGTAAAAATAAAAATTATTGGCAGCCTCCGGCCTCCCAACTCCACCAGAAATAGAAAAAGAAAAAGGGAGACAATGTGAGATAAGTAGACTAAATTACATATATGTGCACACGAAAAAAAAAAGAAACCTCTAGTAGGTTCTATATCAAGTAAAGTTACAAGCTATCTGTTAAACTGCAATTAGTTTTCTAAGCAGCTATATTATTCACTCACTCCAACACAACTTTGATACTCTTTCCCCCCCTAGTGAAATCGAAATATATATAAATCCTTAGCCAGAAAAGGTTGCACCCTCCAAAAAAAGGAGGAAAACCCATAAATTCTCACCAAACACCAATAGCCCCCTCAAATATATCCCTTTCGGGATACACTGACACAGATATTGAAATTCCTAAGGGTGCTGTGCATATGTAATGTCTAGATTTGTGCTAGTGGAGGTCAATTTAATTTCGTAATTTAGTCTTCGAAAACAATGGTGAAAATAACAATAATTATGCACAGTGCGATGATTATCTGCCCTTTCATACAAGTTCCTTCCCTATGCATTCTAGTCTTCCCATGTATCTTTCCGATAGTTACTAGTCAAAATAATAAAATGTAATGCAACTTACTCTCTCATGGCATCAAGATCAAGCCGGAATGTGTTCTCCAGAAGCCTCTGCAAGTTTGTGAAAAAAATGTTCAACATTGTGAGCAGAATATGTCTAGTAAGCGTAATGAGAAAACGAATTAAGATAAATTTATGACCCACTCTCAGCGAAAGACTGTCCATGACTCCTGCTTCACAGAATGGAATGAAAGATAGGTATGCGAAAAGAAGACCAGCTTCATATCTGTAAAGAACCCCCACAAAAAAATAAAAAATGGTGTAAAAATATTTATTTTTTCTCAAAACATAATAGGAGAACAAAATGAAAGATGTTCACATGTCATCTGCTATTCCAAAAGCTCTTTTCTCCATAGGGGTGAAAGCACCTGCAGCAGATGCTCGTCTCCAAAGCTCATCTGATGGAGATCTTGAATTTTCCTCCTGCTGAGAATACCTAGAACACCAACAAACTTTTCACCTCTTAAAAGATAAAATATGAGGCACATTCAGGTGAATGATTTTAAAAGATCAAACAATTCACCTCGCACGGGGTAGGGGGAGTGCACCAACATGTGATTTCATACAAATTGACCATTCAAAATTGTGAAGTGTACACGCATGAGACTTGCCTTGATTAAATTTTGGTAATATATGGTTAGCCTCCTGCTTATAATACCTCACAAACTACAAGAAACTCATTGAGAATTGTCTCCACGGAGAGAAAGGCTAAATCTGTCCCAAATGTATGTAATTGGACTCGGAATTTTCAGATAAGTTAGCATATCCAAGGGCATTATATAGCTTTCATGTGGCTCTCTTGCAAGTAATTGACTTTGGATCATCTCCTTTAATGATGATCTTTAATGAAGAATTAACAATTAGTCTGGGGTAGTGTGCAGAAGGAACATGTTATGGGAGAAAGATTAGAAGTCCTTGCTCCACAAAGTACTAACGTTTCAGATACACAGAACTGGAATTCCACCAACATCCCTAGGCAACAAATCCACGTTTCAAATCCGACAACACACCTTGAAGTTCACCCATCAATTGTAGTGTCAAATGTCAATAACATGATATCTTAATTATCTAATTCAAAAACATCACCTTGGTTGTAGGCTACTGAAGAGCATACATATGTGGTTAAAGTTCCAACTGGGGCTTTTACAAGTAACTAAATGGTTCTATATGCTAGACAGGAACCGAACCATACCGGAACCGGGCTAACCATACCTGAACCACACGATTCCAATAGGGTTCAATCCCATGAAAAGAACTTAAGAAGCTATATCCAAGACTTAAGAAAGCAGGTGAACTGTGATAAGAAATGAAATAAAGAAAAAGATTTTTATCAACAGAAAAGATACACGGCATAATATATTATCGGATATACTTTTACTTGCAGACAATAAAAGTAGAGTAATAACCAGTGAGTACATGGTATTATATGGTAACTAGCTAACAAAAAAAGGGTATTTTAAAGTTGTTCGCCTCAGCATCTGAATATTATCAAGTGGAATTAGGTAGAGCATTCACGAATCCAATGAGTTGCAAAGCTCACCTCAACAGTTCCTTCGGCACAGATTAGGTATTATTTTAATCTCACCTATGATGTTTGAAATAGCGGGTTTCAATTAGGTTAAGGATTATATGGGACTAAAGAGAGGATAAAAATGGAGAGAAGAAAGAAGTAGCCTCGAGATGAGAAAGGAAGGAGCAAGTTCTGATCTGTTCCTCTCTTGGGCATTCCTTGAACTTATATATATATATCTAACACCACTGTAATGGTGCAGTGGACCAAAAGTTAGAAGAGAGTTTTGGGGAACCGATTCCAATTCCTGGTTCTGCTCTCAATCTCAAGAACTGAACCTATCAGGCCGGTTCTCGGTTTGACCAAAACCGACTTTTTTTCTTAACGGAACCGAGTTGAGCCGAACCACCTAGGGGTTCCGGGAATTTTATCCGCCCATAGTTCCAACACTCCATCATTACACATCAAGATCTTTTTTTATTAAATAATTTTGATGTGCAGCATCCCGAACCTAGTTCCATCGGAGCAAAAATGGATCTATCAATATCAGTCTGTGTATATACATGAAGAAACATATGTCATGCATACATTATAAACATACTGACACAGTGTGCTTACTGTGGTGGTAATTGGTAGTAAGAGAACTCTTGAAAAAGATAGAGCACCTAAGTGCAGTTTCAGAATATATCTATATTTCACCAGAAGAGAATTAACCTGGTTGTGTATTGGTATGATGCAGATAATCTACACCATGAAATACCTTATATCAACTGAAAAGGCAAGATCCCGCAGCCGTGGAACTAGATAAGCCGAATCGTTCTCAACCATTGTACTGCCATTTGTAAGATAGATGAATGCATAATGTTCAAATTAGTAGAGAGTATTTTCTAGCAAGTAATGAAGATGAATTGTTATTTGTTAGCTAAACTTTATTTCTCAGGCACGCACTTGAGAATGACAGAGGCAGGTCCAAGACTTTGGTGTAATCTGTCGTGGTCATGCATATAGGCCAGGCCTCTCAAAGCACCCTGAAGCAGCTTTAGAACAAAGTTGCTTCTCCTCTTTATAGTTACATCTTTTTCAAAAGGATTCCAAAGATTCTGTTCTCCTAGATATTTTGACATCTTTTCACTTGTTACCTTTGCATAGTCGGCAGCACTATATTTTCCATCATTCCGGAAAGCTAACCACTGTAGGTAACTTATCACATATAAATATATTTCGAGCAAGAAAGTGAGAAGATGCAATCTACATAAAGGTGAAACTTTGACGACATAGACCTGTTCCCCTGTCTTGGTTTCAAATCCTCCTAGAAGTATTTGAATATTCTGACAGGTGGCAGCTTTTGGACTGCTCTGCAAAGCACAGACATGTAAAATATTACAGGCAAAGTTCCCAGACCAACAGAAATGTACTAACAATTGAGTTCATAAATGCTTGAGGACTGAGAGTTGTTATATTACTTGAAGGGAAGCGTGAGCATTCAACTCGTTTGCAGCCATCATGTCCGCTTCAGCACCACCAACTTGTTGACCAGGATATACCTTCATGGCATTTTTGGTTCAGATAATGAGTTATTACTTATCAGAATAAACAAGAAGAAGCCAGCACATAAGTTGGAGTACCTATAATCTACGAACAGAATGCATTATTTAGTATAAAAATATCATCAAATGCGCACACTGAATTTGAATTAATACCACATCGCTAAGTGCGATGATTCAATGCTCCATTTGCTCATATCCAGGCTATACAATATGCATGAAATACGTACAATGCGCTTTAGAAACTGATTTAACTTTATGTTTAAGGAAAAAATATATTGTCCTATTCGCCTAGTCCTTGCCAGAGAACTTCATAAGTTGCCATCCTAATATTAAATCAATGTAGCAAAACATAGAGAACCAAATATCCAAAAATAAAAATAAAAAACTGCAATAGAAGGTTGAGAGAAATACGTGACAACAATAATCACCTTGAAAATAATTGGGGTACCTCGACGTGGACCCTGAGTTATTCTTCCCTCGTAAAGCCTGCAAAATGACTGCTACAGATAGTATAAGCAGCAAACATAATGAAAACTTATTTAAATCCTTTGAAATAGCGTCTAATGCCATTCTCCAGTTCATAAATTCATCCATGTTTACCAACAAATCAGGAAAGGAAAAACAGAAAAGGAAATGCACCTGATCTTAACACTGCCCTCTCCAACATCTTGAACTCTTAATCTCCCTATATCCGCTGGAGAATATTCCATATCCATCCCCGGCTGTAACCCCGAGTAACTGCAAACAACATTCCTCAGTCAATTTTCTATGGAAAGAAGAGCAAATCTACAAGAAGAATGATTTAATGCAAACCTAGTAATATTCATGAAACCATAGCTTCCAATAAGCCTTCCAACTTCGAAAGATTTAGGATCCATTATTAAACTCGCGTTACAAAATCCCCCATCGCGACGTCGGCGACACGGCCTTAGCTGCAAATTTAAAGCTTTCCCACCAAAGGAACAAGGGCGGGAAGAAAGGGAGAAAACCCTCGAAGTAGGAATGCAATTAACTGCAACTACTACCATCTTCGTTCCTGTGTTTCTGATAGCCCACACCACAGAGACGCCAATTGAATGAATGGATGGATTGTATAACGAAATGAATAAATTAAGGTGAAATATTGGATACGGATAGGGTTCTGCAGATGCTGCCACGTTAGAAAGAAGGACCCTCATTTATTGAGAATATCACAAATGGACACTATTGTGGTAAAATTTCAATTTGGTCATTACATTACTTTTTCCTGATTTTTCTCTTTGTCCCATAGACAATGTTACATAATTAGTCACTCATTCATCCACATGCATTCTATTATTCGACATTGAGCTTATTAAAACTTGACATCGATCAATTATTGTTGTCCATGCCTGGAAATTACGACAATTCTTGAAAAGCTTAACGTCCANGCCCTCTCCAACATCTTGAACTCTTAATCTCCCTATATCCGCTGGAGAATATTCCATATCCATCCCTGGCTGTAACCCCGAGTAACTGCAAACAACATTCCTCAGTCAATTTTCTATGGAAAGAAGAGCAAATCTACAAGAAGAATGATTTAATGCAAACCTAGTAATATTCATGAAACCATAGCTTCCAATAAGCCTTCCAACTTCGAAAGATTTAGGATCCATTATTAAACTCGCGTTACAAAATCCCCCATCGCGACGTCGGCGACACGGCCTTAGCTGCAAATTTAAAGCTTTCCTACCAAAGGAACAAGGGCGGGAAGAAAGGGAGAAAACCCTCGAAGTAGGAATGCAATTAACTGCAACTACTACCATCTTCGTTCCTGTGTTTCTGATAGCCCACACCACAGAGACGCCAATTGAATGAATGGATGGATTGTATAACGAAATGAATAAATTAAGGTGAAATATTGGATACGGATAGGGTTCTGCAGATGCTGCCACGTTAGAAAGAAGGACCCTCATTTATTGAGAATATCACAAATGGACACTATTGTGGTAAAATTTCAATTTGGTCATTACATTACTTTTTCCTGATTTTTCTCTTTGTCCCATAGACAATGTTACATAATTAGTCACTCATTCATCCACATGCATTCTATTATTCGACATTGAGCTTATTAAAACTTGACATCGATCAATTATTGTTGTCCATGCCTGGAAATTACGACAATTCTTGAAAAGCTTAACGTCCAACTAATAAAATTACCAAATTGTTAACTTCAACTCTAAATCCATTTTTCTTTATTCATAAATTGTATAGGTTGTGATAAAGCTAAAATAGGAAGCCATCTAGAAGGAATTGGCCGCTTTAACTATCGTTAATCCATTTGAAGACTTAAGCCCTGTTTGGTACACATTAATATTTTCATTTTCATTCTTCTACTCATTTTCAACCACACATTCTTCAATAAAATAATATTTTTCATCACATCAATAACTTTTTCTCCCTTTTCAACCACAAATTCTCCATCAATCTACTATTCCAAAATACATTCTTTCAAAATAATGTGGCTCAAACACACCCTTAATAACTGCTATGATGTATATGACGTTAATCAAGTTGATGAATGACTAATTGTGTAAAAACTTAAAAACGTCTAAATATAGTGACTAAAACGGTCAAAAAATATTTGATGATCAATTTGAAAATTTTCTTGAAATTTTAGTAGCCATTGGTGAAATCAAGTAATAAACTCTTGGTTAATTTTCTGCGGTGCTTATTAAAAAAATATTCTGGTGTGAGAATTGTAAAATGAGAGAAGTAGAAGGACTGTTGAGAAAAGAAGGATGCCTCGCTGGCGCCAATCAACCGCTTCAATCTTTAGACCCTTCTCGCGTAGCGTCTGCTACTTTTTTTTTTTTCACAATCTTCCACGGCTTTGTGCATTAAACACACACTCACAGACTCACTCACAGCGAAATATCTCCTGGGATCTAGCCCTAGGTTTTCATTTTTAAACCTTTCAATTACTCAAAAGTTATTAACAATTATATAGTATTGAAAACTTTGGTGGGGTGCTGAAGAAATGGAAGGAGGAGAAGGAGGAGGAGGGTTGAGTGTTGGGAGCATACCATCAGCATCATCTGCGCCGCCGCCATTTCTGAGCAAGACATACGATATGGTGGACGATCCAACGACAGATTCGGTGGTGTCTTGGAGCAAGAGCAACAATAGCTTCGTGGTGTGGAACGTGCCGGAATTTTCCAGGGATCTTTTGCCTAAATATTTCAAGCACAATAACTTCTCCAGCTTCGTTCGCCAGCTCAACACTTATGTGAGCATCGCTTTTTTGTGGGTTTTTGAATTTTCAATTTTTTAAATGATTATTGGAGGTACTTGTCCAGTTGCCCTAGGTTGCGAGGATCAATATTTTATGTTTGTATATGGGTATTTAGCTAAGTTAGTACTGCATCAGAGGATTACATATTACAGAGATCAGATTATCTCTGAGAGTCACAAGCAGGATGATTATCAAAATTCCACAGTTCCAGTAGCTGCTTAGATTTGGCCTGATTTTTTATTTTTTTTTCTGTTAATGGAATCCAAATTTTAGGTTCTGGAGATGGTTTGAGTGGACAGAGAAGGAAAACTCTGCAAGTTCTCTTCCCATCGGATTATTGAGGAACAACTTTGTTTCATTTTATTTATCAGCTGACACCATCCCAATACGCCATGACTGATATGGAAAGGTGCTTTTGAGAACCACTGGAACGTTAACTTTTAATCATGGTCTCCCAAAAATACTCTCTCAAGTCTCATCAATATTTGTATTAAAAACTTTCAATCTAGCGTTTCTGATTTGGAACACTTAGGTGAATCATGTTTGGATTATGGAAGCTAAATTGGATGTACAACACAATTCTTGAAAATAATGAAAATCATCAGGAATTTGGGATCGCTATATTCTGCACATCCATGGTTTTTATGAGAACCCAATTAATCATGTTTTGGGAAAAGAATTAGCCATGTTTCTGTTGAATCAGTCCTTAGTTTCGTGCAGTATCTTGGCTATTTGTCATAAGGGTCTTCTAGGAAATGGAGATATGTTTTCTTTTTTATTCTGAATGGCCATATCATGTTGTTGGACAACTATAATATTTTTATAGTTTGCTTTCCTCTTTCCAATCAGGGGTTCAAGAAAGTTGACCCAGACAGCTGGGAATTTGCAAATGAGGGTTTCCTAAGAGGCCAAAAGCACCTTTTGAAGAGCATAAGTAGGAGGAAATCTTCCCATACACAAAATCAGCAACCCTCCCAATTTCAGAGTTCATCTGTTGGGTCTTGTGTTGAAGTTGGAAAATTTGGAATAGAGGAAGAGGTCGAAAGACTGAAAAGAGATAAAAATGTTCTCATGCAGGAGCTTGTCAGGTTAAGGCAGCAGCAGCAATCGACAGATAACCAATTGCAAACTGTTGGGCAGCGTGTTCACGTAATGGAGCAGCGCCAGCAACAAATGATGTCATTCCTTGCAAAAGCCATGCATAGCCCTGGATTTGTTGCCCAGCTGGTGCGTGATCAAAATGAAAGCAACAGACGCATCTCTGGAGGTAATAAGAAAAGGAGACTCCCCACTCAGGAAGAGGAAGTCTTAGGTGGAAAATTAAATGCCGTGTCGCCTGATGGACAGATTGTCAAGTACCAGCCTTTGATGAATGAAGCTGCAAAGTCCATGCTGCGGCAAATCCTAAAGATGAATGCAACTGGGAGGCTTGAATCAAAAGTTAACAACCCTAATGGTTACTTGATTGATAATGCCCAGCCTCCATCTGGTGTAGCAGACAGCGGTAGCTCCTCCAATAGAATGTCCGGGGTGACCCTTTCAGAGGTTTTACCACCTTCTTCACAATCACCAGCAGTATCAGAATCAGGATTTTCTTTCAACTGTCCTTCAGCTGCCATGTCTGTGGTCCAGAATTCCTCTGGTTTGGTACATGAGAAGAAACAAAGTACTCCATTTCAAGAAATGAATGTTGGGTTGCCAGAATTTCCTCAAACACAAGAAATCTATCCAGAAAAGCATGATGACCTAGACATGCCTCTTAATGGAGCTGAGTCTAGAGATGCAGGGAATATGGATGCAATGGCAGGATTGGTAGATGGCCCTATGCCAGTTGTACCTGATGGATTTTCATCAGATCTTGACATTGATATCTTGCTAGACGAGATCCCTAAGCTGCCAGGTATAAATGATGTTTTCTGGGAACAATTTCTTTCGGCAAGTCCCCTAACTGAGGATACTGATGAGATCAATTCTGGTGCATTGGGATGTGGTACTGGAGAGGAACATGATCAGAAGATAGGGCAAGAAGGCGAATGGGATAGGATGAAGCATATGAATAATGTTACGGAACATTTGGGACATCTTACATCTGCATCCAGTACTAACTGATTCTATGTTAAGAATTATATTCTTGTATGCAGTTTTGGAGGTAAAACTTCAATTCAATTTCCTTTGATAAGCAGTGGGTCATTTCACATTCAGTCCTTTGCCATACAGACTTACCAAGTATATTAATGCTATCTTCATATAGGGCATGTCTTTATTACAAATTTCTTATTCTGGCTGCTTATTATCAAATTCGTATATGTACCCCTGCCGAAAAAATAGCTGTACATTGATGTCAATATGTATATATGTCAACAATCGAGCGTGTATCCTTTTAATAACTACAAAATCTGAATATTACATATGTGCTTGCTTATAAGCAGTGTGTCCCAAGGAATATGTGGTTAAAAAATAGATAAAAATTGTGGATCTAAAGAATATGTGATTAAAAATGATATATGACCAGTTTATAAGCATTTAAAAACTTTGCCAAACATGCCCTGTCTCCTTGGCTTAGGTTTTTGACTTGTTGGATAAGCTTGGTTTCTCTGCATATACGTGGTGATTACAATATTATATTTTTGTTTCAATTGCTGCTGTATTTGTGGTGAATTTTTGGCAAAATGATACGGAATGCTAAATTTTGGTTTTTGCCAGGTCAATGCTGTGGAATACCGGCATAGAGAATGCCTCTAGTCAAGTATGCTTTTGTTACAATGGGAAGTTTTTAGACTGCTATCCACCTCAAACTTTACCCCCTTTTTTGGAAAATAATGTTTGTAAACTGTACTTTTAAATCCCAGAAGAAAACTGTATAATATATGATGTCCAAATGTCACAGCAATTACCTACACTTGCTTAGACAGGAACGGTGGACTGGCTGAAATTTGGCGTCTTAACCTACTATAATTCTCTTGCCTATGGAGTTGTGTATAATTGTGCTTTCGTATACCTTTAGTTGAAGAAGGTCTACCCGAACGTCCTTGGCTTCAATGCTTCCAAATTCAAGGTTCAGTTCATGCAAGAACGAACAAATTTATAGATGCAAATTGAGTACAATATTCACCAATAACCCTTATAAGAGCAATATCCTCCTTTTCAAACAATGCAATCTACATTGATTTCGAATAATTATTTCCCTATTTGCAAACTTCAGATATTAGCTTGGCAACGGAGTGGGTGTCTCTGCAAAGTCAAATGTTCTTTACAACCCAAATAGGTTGAGATGGGCTCGATAGAAGTCCAATGGCAACAGCTAGCCTCATTGGGAAGATATGATGCATGTTCCTTCGTATTTTTTCTTCAACAAGCTGCAGTACTTGTGACTTATTTGTTATATGATCCACTGATCCTAGTCTAGCTGCAATTTCCTGCAAACCACAATCTCTCATAACCTTCCTCGACCCTGAAAACTTGTCCCATTTTCCTGATTTGGCATAGATATTATATGAAGACACAAGCTCTGTGATTTTGAGGTTCTAATTCAAGCAAACGAGCACATGCATGTTCAGCTACATCAACATTCCTATGAAGTATACAGACCCCAAGCAGAGCCCCCAAAACGGAAGCAGCCGGGGTATGGGCATTTCTTGATAAACTCCATGGCTTCCTCCAACAGACCTGGCTCGACCAACCATGCAAGCATAGTGCTTCACACCAGGCACGATGTTGTCAACTAGCTGCATTTTGGCGGAAAAAAAATCTCTACCTTCCTCAACTAGACCTGAGTGACTGCAGGCAGACAATAAATTGGTAAAAGTTACGGAATTAGGCTCAACCTTGGCTTCTTGCATCTTCAAGAACAATTCTATTGCACCCCTGCCAAAACCATGCATTGCCAAACCAGCAATTGTAGCACACCATACAAACACCTCGTCAACTGAATGAAATACCTCCAGCGCCTTCTCCAAATCTCCACTTAAAATACATATCAGTCAGCACAGTAATGAGAGAACAATTTAACCTAATACCCTCTTTTTTATGTACACATGGATCCACCCACCCAAATCCATATGCCCCTAATTGAGCACAGGCTAAGAGGGAACTAACAAGGTGACTTCATGAGGTTTAGCAACTATTAAAAATGGCTAAAAGTCTCCGTAGGATGGCCCTTGCATTGCAGCAAGAAGACTTCTAGCTGCATCAAAATCCTCCAACTTCGCTACCCAGCAAGCACAGTTGTCCACGAAATGATATCCTTCATCTTGTCAATGGATTAAGCAAAGACGAGTCGGGAATAAACCCCGACTTGACCACCATTCCATGAAGTCGTCCCTTTCCAACCTGAAAATCCGAGAGCTCGGCCAAGGCTTTGATCCCATAAGGGTAGTAAACTTATTGGGATTCTCACTCCATATAAGTTAACCGAATAAACATCAAGAAGCTATGAATAGGTTAGGGACTCGAAGAGTAGGCACGAATAAGGGCGTTCTAAGAGTAGAGAATTGGGTTGGGAATTTGATCGAACACTTTGCGGGCATCTGAATGCTGATAATTGAGACAAAGCAGACGCTCGAATGAATTTGCTTGTTAAGTAGGGATCAAAAAGGAGACTATTTCGGAGCATTTGCGCATGGATTTGTCTATCGTGACGGGTGAGCAATGGTCTATCATTGTGATTAATGGTTTGCAAAGTATTTCATTGTTGACAGTTGGGAAATTTGGGTTGAGATAGTTACATTGAAGAGTGGTGTTTGGAGCAGCCATGGATTCTCCTGAGCTCAACTGTTATACAAATTTACTTTATTCTCCAATCTTTTTCTATTCGTTATATGCATTTTACGAATATATTTTTTCGTGACAGAAAGTTAAAATGGATGCATCGCCAGCGACGTCTCTCCTGCCACGTTCCCTCCTATTCCCAATTAGAAATCGCATAAGCATCTTATTAGAAATCGCTATATTGCGTACTGCAGGGAATTGTTATTCTTTCCCACCGCCTTGGAAAATATCTTTAAAAGCTTTCAAAAACCCACCCTCCGTAATTTATACATTCAAATATATACATTTCTCTGTCAGTCAATTTCCATCATCTTCGCTAATCCAACCCAATCCAATAACCTCTGATTCAATTGCTGTTCGTAAAACGATGTCGGTTAGTAACGGATACTCATTTCTGATTCAATACAACTTTGTAATTCATATACGTGTCATTGCGTGTTCTTATTTCTTTGATCCGATCCATTAATTTAGATTCTCTGCTCAGCGCTGCTTAAATTTTCTGGCGTATGGGAAAAAAAACTTTGTTTATGATCGGATGAAGTTGATGATCCTTTCAGAAACACCACAAGGAAATAATTTTGCATACGGCTCTGTTTCAAACTTCGTTTTTTCATGAAATTCTACGTATTTAATAAAGTTGCAGTAGTATTCAGAAAAATAAAATAGAATTTCAGTTTCATTCTTTTTATTCTCCCTTTCCTCCCAGTAATCCAAGATCAATAAGCCATATTTGTTGATGAAGTTCTGTTAACATGAGTTAAATATCCAAGATTTTTATTTGTTAGCGCATCCCATCCAGAAAAGGCACATACACAGAGAACATGTTTTAACGTTCAATTCTTTGTATTGCAGCAAGCTTAGTAGACATTTTAATGTGGCTTTACTTGTCACAGTAGTATATTGAATTCTTTGAAAAGACTCGGAATGCATTGCGCCATTGATTCTAGCATTATAACTTTGACGCTGATTTTTTGCCTGGACTCAGCATGTTTGGGAGTGCTTAAAATCTCCTTATTTTGCTTTAAAGTTTTGTATTGTCCCAGTCATATATAGGCCTCGAGGAACTCCAAGTGTGTATTTGATAGATATTATGGAGGAAATAATGTATTTTAAATATATATATGATGAGAAATAAGTGGTTAAAAAGTAATGAAAAGTTATTGATGTGATGGAAAATATTATTTTATTGAAAAATGTGTGGTTGAAAATGAATTTTAAAAGAATGTGTACCGAACATGGGCTAAACTTTAGTTGACAAAATATCGAAATAGTCTCACACTGTATACTCCTCCAACCCCCTCAAAGATTAAAAAAATATGTCCTTCACTGTTCTAGGCCGACGCAGACACTGAGAGACGACTCCTCCCCCGAGTCCCCAACACACACACGCACACACACCAAAAAAGAGTAAAAATAAAAACATTTTTGGGGTCGGTAATTACTTGAGGTTATGATATTACACATGAAACCTCCCGTCTCTCTCATTCATTTGGCTTCTTTGCATGGCAGGTCAAAACAGTGAAAGTGAGCAATCTCTCGTCGGGTGCTTTTGAACAAGACATCAAGGAGTTCTTTTCCTTTTCCGGGGATATTGAATTTATTGAAATAAAAAGGTTAATTTGTGAATGCTTCAAGTTTTTTTCCATTCCAGTATTTTATTATCTTCCCTTCACTGAGCACCTATTTTTAACCCAAGTGGTTGCAATTATTTCCCTAAGCATCACGTCATTTCATCTTCAATTTGTTTCTAGTGAGAATGAGCGGTCTCAAACTGCATTTGTAACTTTCAAGGATCCTGAAGGTGCAGGGACTGCAGTTCTTTTATCGGTAACTTTACTTAACATTTCACTGATTCATTTGTCTTTGTTGCCTTGCGATATTAACCTTAAATTCAGTATTAGGTTCAGCTTTTATACGAGGAGAGTCCATACAGATATTATTGATTTATTATTAACTGAAAAATAAGGTTCCATTACTTTCTTAAGACTATCCGGTTGGCTGTCATATTTCTGTTGAACTTTTTTTGGTAACAAGATAATACTCAAATCAAGAAAAGTTTGGGGATGTTTGTCTTAGCACTTTTTCAAATTTGATTCTCAGTTTTGTGTTTCTCTTGCTAAAATTATTTAATGATGGAAGTTGGTTATAAAATTTGTTATGTACAGTTGTAATCAATTTTTTCTTCAAACCAAGGTTATAATTAAGGATTCTTATCCTGAAAATGGTTTATGATACTGATCAAGGTTGCAGAAGAAGTTTGATCATCTAAATATTTGAATCCTCCTCTTTACTCTGTGTGTATGCCTCGGTCTTATGCTGAGATGATTTTTTTAGTTCAGAAGGCACGTCCTTTGTTTATATGGCCTTCTTATCGAATTTCTTGTTATCTCACTTTTGAAGATTAGCACATTTGATTTTTCAGGGATCTACCATTGTTGATCAATCAGTTGACATAGCCCTCGCTCCAGATTATATACTGCCAGCTACAGCAACAGCATCCGTTGGCATCTGATCTTTTGACATCTTATTTAATTTTCATTCACATGATGCACGTTTTTCATTCAGCTGGACTGTGTATGCATCAGGCTGCGGAAAACAAGTATGAAGGTAACACTGGATCTGCAGTCCAAAAGGCGGAAGATGTTGTCAGCAGCATGCTGGCAAAGGGCTTTATCTTGGGGAAGGATGCGCTTAACAAGGCCAAGGATTTTGATGAGAAGCACCAGTTCACTTCCACTGCTTCAGCTAAAGTAGCTTCTCTGGACCAAAAGATTGGATTGAGTGAGAATATCAGCTTAGGGGCGACCATGGTAAATGATAAAGCTAAGGAGATGGACCAGAAGTTTCAGGTTTCTGAGAAGACAAAATCAACTTTTACAGCAGCTGAGCAGACGGTTAGCAATGCTGGTTCAACCATCATGAAGAACCGACATATTTTGACGGGGGTTTCGTGGGTTACAGGTGCTTTCAATAGCGTCGCCAAAGCTGCTGGAGAAGTGGGGCAGAAGACGCAGGTAAAAATGATCGAGGAAGAACAGGGAAAGAACGCTGCTGAAGGTTCTGCCCATGTTCATACCTCTGACTCTCCGTCTGGAGAAGTGGGGCAGAAGACGGGGGAAAAAATGATCGAGGAAGAACAGGGAAAGAACGCCGCTGAAGGTTATGCCCATGTTCATACCTCTGACTCTCCGTAAGCTGCTACAGGCGATACCAAACCCTCTTCTCCTCGGGGATTAGTCCTTTGAATGTTGCTCACCTTATTTTCTATTTATATATGATAAGCTTGTTTGGATATTTTTACCTCAAACCCTAGCTAGTTATTTTATTGTATGGTGTGACTATTGTTGGGATTGCTGGATACAATTGCTGATCAGACTTTTGTCCAGTTTTACAATAGCGTTGTGACCAAGTTGTTGGTTTTCAATACTTGTATAAGATGATCGAATTTAAGTAGAAATAATTTCATTCAATGTTGAAAAATGTATGATTTCTTTATATATGATGAAAATTATAAAGAAAAATGAAAGCATAAATCCAGTATACAAGGCAGATATCAATTTGCCCAATGTTTCATGTATACCTATGCTTAGACGCACCTTTGCTTAGTTTCATGAGTTTTCAAGTTCTCAACAATTGCCATTCTCCAAGCCCAATACTCCCATACCCCAAGAAGTTCCTTTCTTTACAATCAGTTGTTTCGTGATTTTATTCCATCATCAATCAAAACAATCCAATTTCCCTTCAATGACACACAAAGGAGGAAGATAAGATTGAATAAATAAGATCTTCCGACAGATTGTAATGAATTGTTGGGATAAATAATGATGCTGAGTATTGAGTTCTAGTCGTCGTGCCTGAGATTTGTTTGTTGCCCAACTAAGCCGATAAATTCAACTGCAACGCTAAGAGCATTAAGAGCAGCCAAAGAACTTGAGCTTGTTGATTCCAGTTTGTTTCCAGCCCCTGCTAAATCTGATACACCGCGGAACACTATACAAGGCACTCCATTTGATATAGATGTCTGCATAACATGGTCAGCGGGAGTCAATTACAAACAGTTGCTATGTAGATAATCTATTGATTTTATGTTTATTTTTCAATTTGACTAACCATCACAACTGCAGAGCTCTCTTCATCGACGGTTGAGATATTGAATTTGTTGAAAAGGAATTTCCTATAGGCCGCATTATTGACAAATATATCAGCAGTCGAGCCTCTCAATCCATATACAACCTTTGGCTTTGTAGGAAGACAGAATTTCTCATCAAGACATTGTTGCAAAACTACGTCCAACTCCTGCAAAAGTATGCAGTTAGTAATAATTTTGTCAAAAACATCATGCAATCCCTCAGCTCACCTAACCTGAAGTTGGGTTGAAACACTAAACCAATTTGCATCAACTGGAAGCCAAAATACTTGTTGCATTGGTTTCCCATTGGAATAAAGTTGTTGATATGTGTACTCTATCTTTGCCAATGAGTTTTCCCCCTTTTCAGGCAAGTTGTAAGCGCCAAACTTGAGTTCTGCCAGATCTCCATCTGGCGATTGAAATTCCTGATCAACACAATGTCATATTATATCTATCCTAGTAACTCCATATACCTGGAATTAATGTATGTGAGTTTATCATACCTTCCATTTCCAAGAACCAGTAAAGGCTAGGTAAAGTGGGACACTCACATCTCCAGTGTATAGGGAATCATTAGCACTCCCAGCAGTCCCATAGTGAACTATTCCTTTAATGTCGAAAACATCTAATAGAATTTGCACCGTTATACCTGCATTTAACTGAGAAAATTTAAAATTATATATATATATGGAAAATATCGAATTTGAGGGGGCAAATGAAGGACAGGAGTGATAAATTAATATGTTNCTGATAAATTCAACTGCAACACTAAGAGCATTAAGAGCAGCCAAAGAACTTGAGCTTGTTGATTCCAGTTTGTTTCCAGCCCCTGCCAAATCTGATACACCGCGGAACACTATACAAGGCACTCCATTTGATATAGATGTCTGCATAACATGGTCAGCGGGAGTCAATTACAAACAGTTGCTATGTAGATAATCTATTGATTTTATGTTTATTTTTCAATTTGACTAACCATCACAACTGCAGAGCTCTCTTCATCGACGGTTGAGATATTGAATTTGTTGAAAAGGAATTTCCTATAGGCCGCATTATCGACAAATATATCAGCAGTCGAGCCTCTCAATCCATATACAACCTTTGGCTTTGTAGGAAGACAGAATTTCTCATCAAGACATTGTTGCAAAACTACGTCCAACTCCTGCAAAATTATGCAGTTAGTAATAATTTTGTCAAAAACATCATGCAATCCCTCAGCTCACCTAACCTGAAGTTGGGTTGCAACACTAAACCAATTTGCATCAACTGGAAGCCAAAATGCTTGTTGCATTGGTTTCCCATTGGAATAAAGTTGTTGATATGTGTACTCTATCTTTGCCAATGAGTTTTCACCCTTTTCGGGCAAGTTGTAGGCGCCAAACTTGAGTTCTGCCAGATCTCCATCTGGCGATTGAAATTCCTGATCAACACAATGTCATATTATATCTATCCTAGTAACTCCATATACCTGGAATTAATGTATGTGATTTTATCATACCTTCCATTTCCAAGAACCAGTAAAGGCTAGGTAAAGTGGGACACTCACATCTCCAGTGTGTAGAGAATCATTAGCACTCCCAGCAGTCCCATAGTGAACTATTCCTTTAATGTCGAAAACATCTAATAGAATTTGCACCGTTATACCTGCATTTAACTGAGAAAAATTAAAATTATATATAAATGGAAAATATCGAATTTGAAGGGGGAAATGATAGACAGGAGTGATAAATTAATATGTTACCGTTTGTTCACCACTCATCACATAAATCACATCAACACCTTTAATCTTCCCAACGTTGAATCTCCTTCCTAATTAAGCAACCGACAGAAACAAGTAGTTTATATTCAACTGCAGTCCAGTTTCAGAATTGAATTTCTGTGAATTGCTTAATCCGTGCAACTCACATCACCGTAATCTAATTGTTCCATTATCCAGGAGTTTTATGAGAGAAATTTACATGAATCTGATGAAAATCATCTAAATTGAACTTACTTACCCGCCAAATCAATGGAAGGAACATTAGAGCTGGGAACGAAGAAACGAGACGTTAGAAGTGCGGCCTCTTCAGTGGGATAAGCCATTAAGAGGCCAATGTAAGGACCTCCATAATTGTTCACTGTTTCAACCAAATGATGCAATGGATGAGTCGATCTACGCTGGAGTGAGTGCTGCACTTGTACCACCAACGCCGTTAGTAATGTCACAAACTTCAATGGTCTCCATTTCAGATCCGGATTTGCTACACCCATTGATCACTGTCAAATACTCTTCGCTCTCTCTCTCTCTCCACCCGCCTGCTATCAGGACACACAAGTAATTTTGGAAGATAAGAAAGAACAGTAGAAGCATGTAAAACGTGAATGGGTTGTCCCAAAAAGGAAGAACTTCATTTGTGGTCCGTGAAATTTCAGTGGAATCTCGGCTATGTCACTAAATTTTAATTTACATTAATTAGGTCATAAATTTCAAATTACTTTCAAATATCACCATTTCATTTCCTTCACTTGGCCATCTCTAAATTGATAAAAATGGTCTAACAAACGGGAACATAATCGTAACATGGCATGATGATTTAGCACTACTTCATTTCGTAAAGCGATAAATTTAAAAGATACTCATATTGACCTTTTTAATCTAAATTGTCTTTATATGTATTTTACCATTTTGTTTTTTGAGCGTGTAGCACTGACATGGAAGATGATTATGGAATTGCTATCAACTAAGTGATTTCTATTGGTTTTGTGGGAATAATAAGTGACGAAATGTGAAAGTTGAAACTACAATAAAGTTTAATGATCAAATTAACATTTGGTGACCCAATTGATATTTCATTGGAACTTCAGTGACCGCGCTCGAAAATTATCCCTCCAAAATATATAGTAGATGAAAGAGTTTTATTGAGACATCTAGCATCTTCCGACCTTAGCTCAGTTGGTAGAGCGGAGGACTGTAGTTCGTTCATAGCAGCTTATCCTTAGGTCGCTGGTTCGAATCCGGCAGGTCGGATTGTTTTGTTTTCAAATATTTCTTTTTTTTTTCCGATTTGGCAGAAAAATTTGAATTCTGGGCTACCAATTCCCCATTCCAATTTCCAAATGAGTTAATTTCACAACTGAAATTTCAATCCAACTTAAATGATCCTTAAACTATTCTTTTGGCCTATTTAAGCACCTTAAGGTTTTTTTTTTTTGACTAATTTATTCACAATCCTAGCGAAAGCTATTCTTGTCGTTTCAAAAAAATAAAATGGTAAGATGATATAATATTAAAAATCTTATTCATTGAGTAAACATGATAAATCATTCGTTAAGAATCGACCCATCGATGAAATTTTTCATCATCAGCAACAATACAATCAATGTCCAATAGAAGCTCCTCTATGTGGCTGATAACCTTAGAAGCACTTCCACCATTTAAGGCCAAAGAATAGCAAAACTAATTCCACTATAAAAGCTTCAATCCACCGGTCACATTGTCGACCATTTCTGCGGGTCCTGCATAAGAATGGAATAAATTATTAACGATTTGGTGACTTGCACGCTAAGGAGGTAGTATACTAAAAGGATTTGTGGGCTGAAAAGAGCTGAAACTGCATATAATTCAGAGGTGGTAACGTTCGTTGTCAATGTTCAGAACAATCGTTCGACATCATGTTTAGGCTGGCGTTAGAAACGAGAAACTTACCCAAAACTGCCATCACTGTTCTTGAATCTGGAGAAGAGGGATCAAGGAAATGAATTGTAAGTCGAGAGATGAAAATCTAGAATGGAAAATTCATGCTGATCCAAATATAGCAATTCATTGTATAACTAGACGAGATTAAAGAAAAATTATAAGAATATGACTGCATGATGGTATGCAAATTCCCAAAATGTAAATGCAGGTAACATGGGAATAAAACACAGTTACCCACGTTCTGCGGTAAGTACACAGCCACTGGACAACAACTTGCTTATTCATTTCGCAGTATATACATTTTACATTATCCTTTAAAATGACTTTGACATAACCAAAAATACATATTAGCATTATTCAACAATAATAAGCCACATAAATTAATATTTTTTATTCGACAAGAGAGGATACAGATTCCTTTTATTACCTTGAACGTGATGACATTTATTTGGCAAATGCAAGAAAAATATAGCAAAATTAGTCCCTTAACTCCACCTTTGGATGGATAAACCCTAGAGCTAACAGGTAACAATTGGTCTGATATGAAAGGGCAAACCAAAGTCCCCGTATAATTTCAATCCCTTATCCTTTAATTAGTTCTCTTTTTCTTTTCTAACCTCTATACATGCACACACCACCAATAGAATCTACCCTGAGCTTTGTATGCGAATGGACAAAGCACCATTTTCATCTTTTCTAACTGCTACATTGGCCAAAATAGACAACCATCCACTCTCTCATGTTTAAAATATTTTTGCAGTAGATAAAAAGGTATTTCTTCAGAAATGATATGCGTAAAAGTTTGATAAACTTCTCTATAAACAATATGCCTATCGTGAATTTGAACACGCATTAAACGAGAATTTTCCCACTGCATCCACCTGCTTACAAAATTGATATGATAAAGAATCTTCTTTAGAAATAATATGCTTATGGTGAATTTGATCACCCATAAACTGAGTTTTCCCACTACATCCACTTTGCCACAACCCCCATCAAAGGGGACTGAGAGTAGTGCTGCTCTTTCGGAGCAAAATCAATTCTACTTTGCAGGTATTTAATACCGTATTTCTCCCATTTGATCAACATAGCCATCACAGATTGTCAACCCAAACCAATATCAATCGGCCCGTAAAATTATTAACACGAGCATGCAAATGATGAAATGGGGGGGGGGGCGCATAACTCCAGCTTTCGTTGCTTTATTTTTATTTTTATTTTTATTTTCTTGGTCACATAGTTACAGAGAGATGGAGTTTCCAATGAGTTTAGTCAGTTTTATGAAATGGAAAGAACACCATCCTATAGATCAATGTAAAACCAAGTCACAACAAAAATAAATAACTTTAAAACTCACTAGGAGCGATCTGTGTTCTCCCAGCATCAATGGTGATATGTGTTTGTAAGTTTAGTGATTTTGCCCTTTCCTGTACAAATAAGAAATTACAATCCAGATGAAACAAAAGAATATAGTCCATGCATGATAAACCTCTATATTATAGCAAAGTATAAAAGATAAGCCCAATATACTATTTGATGGCCCTATAATAAGTTTCTGCTTGTGAGACCAAGTTATATTCCAGATGATGCTATCCCACCATCCCATATTGCAGATAGATATTTCCATCTGTTCACTGTAGAGATCTGGAAGGTGACTCGACTGACAAGTACTACCAATTGCAGGGGCCTTAGCCAACCCATGCCAAAAATGAGTTTAAATTATCAAAACAAATTGATGGAATATTAGAAGGATATTTTTATATTTAATTTCCAATTTTAATATTATAATTTAGGAAACATAATAAGGGATTGATTTTAATATAGTTTCCTACTTCAATTTAGATTAGTTTACACTCTATATAAAGGGGGCTTATGCGATGTAATGGAGACAAACTTGGACATGAAATAAAGATTGATATTTTCTTCCCTCAATTCTCTCATCTCTTCCCTTCTGTTTATCTAACTCTCCTCCCCTTTCTACCTTCCTCATTCTATCTCCCTCCTTTCTCTTCTTCTCTCCCTTTTCCCCTTCTCTTATAATTGTTCCACGGCATTCAGCATCACAAATCCTTACACTGCTTGACAAAGTGCATCAGCAGTCCGGCAACAGAATGATGACAAACATTTTCCAACATTTTGAAAGATTCCTTGATTAGGCATGCAATAACATTAAAGGAGAACCGTAATTAATTCCACGAAATTATCGAGTAACAGCATCATCAAATGACACAAGTCCTTGATAACAATTTACTGTGCGTTACAATGTCATTGTTAACAACCCTTTCTTTCGACGTCATCTTGAGCTCCTCAGGGCTCAGACGACCTGATATATTATACCAGTTAAATCCTTCACCATTTTTGTCTTTACTAAGATGACAAAATTTTCTCACAAATCGTGGCAAAAAGGGGTAAAAAGGAATAATTTCAACTCAATTAAAATTCTTAAGAATGACAGTATTTATCTAGTCTATGCATCCTTAGTATACAAGAATAATTAACCAGTTTCTTCATGTCTCCCCGGAAAGTGCTGTGAGATATTGTCAAACAAAATAAATAGCATAAGTATACATTACACAATGATATGTAACATTCATAATACATGTGTTATCTGAGAAACTGCTATGGTAATTTCAAATTGAAGCTATTCATATGGCTCTTACTTGTAAAACAAGCATATCATCTTCACTTTCAATTTTTACGACAACCTTAACCTGCCCACACATCTCCCACCTGCACGGAAGCAAGCCAGTGAACTTAGTCAAATAATATTACACAAATAGCAATTCAGAGTTCCAAAAAATTAGAGTTGTGACTACGTTAAAGAATACCTGTTTAAAGATTTCGGTGCCCGGTTTGCAAGTTTCTTGTAGAGACCCAAAGTAGCATGACTATCAATCATAAAAAATTGACTAGAAGTCAGAACAATTAAATTTATGTCCCGAAGAACTTGTAAATTGGAGCCTACCAGCAGGTTGTATTATTTTCATTGAAATAGTTAACTCGTAAAATACTGCAATTGTAGCATGAAAAACCATGACTTACAAGAACAAAATTACAGAGTAGACCCAAAAAGAAAAACGCATCAAACTTTTAAACATAATTTTAACTCCCATTAAAGATTATTATAGAATCTATATACGATGCAATCTGTATAAGATAAAATGCATTCTTCCATAATGGACTCTAAGCAGACTGGTCTTTCATATTTTGAACTTTAAATTTATTTCAAGAGACCTTGCAGTATCAACGTCAGAAAGCGACAAAATGAAGCACCTTATTACAAGTTTTATTCCTTTTTCTTCTTTTGGGATATAGAATTAATAAATAACTCATTTATGCAAGAGTCCAGCAAAAAGCAGCCCTCACTTTTATTGGCCAGAGAATTGAAACGTCCTAGTCATTTAGCCTCCAGCCCAACCTTAGCCCTTCACATCAAACCAAGGTGTCGTTGTGATACCACCAACCAGTCTTTGGTCAAATTTAAGATTTCACAGTGCAGTTTTTATTTCAATCGTGTGTTGTACTTATTTTTGTTGTTTCCACTGCAGAATTTGGCATCTTCTACTAAGAACCACCCCTCCTATTTTTATTATGTGATAGATATTACATATTCTTGGTTCCTTTTTTTTGGGTCCCAATTTAAATAGGACTACTTGAGATTGAAAGAAATAATCCTACATAAATGAAAAATGATTTCCTTTTTCCCAGTAATCAAACCACTGACACTCCCAAGAAATTGGTAAGTAACAATAAAAAAAATCAATCGCATTGATAACATTGTCAGCTAATGAACAGTAGGTGTTGAATACAAATGGTGCAATTTGAGTCTGATGCTATGCTCAAGATGGCAGTTACCTGCATTGGGCAGCAATCTTCCCTTTCCCCATCTTTAAGTCATTCCTCACAACCAAAACCTGTTAACAATTATTCAAGAAATAAAGCTAAATTATCCTCGTATTAATGTACTTAAAGCTTCTTCTCACTTCGCATAAGAGCTTGACTATATCTGCATACAAAGGGAGAACGGAAAAGACATAATACCATTTTGAAATCTTCATGAATGTCAGCTAGTTTTTCGATCTGGAGGGGTTGTTTACCACGGTTCTTTGGTTTACCGTCAACGACTATTTCAGCGCCTTTCGATACTCGGGGCGAAAGAAAAATACGGGCACAATGCCGAGCTCCAATTAAGTACCCCAAAGCAAGGCAACCAGCCCCAAGTAACAAGGCACTGAACCAGGTCACGTCCATCATATCAAACCCCAAAGAATCAATGTGCACTGCAGTCAAATACCACTACACAGTTAGCTAGGGATTACACCTGATTATTACAGAGTATAACTAATTGGAAAAGGAACTAGATACCAGTAATAATTTGTTGGAGCAGAAACTGCATAAGCAGAATAGTCAACCTATCGGAAGACGAAGATCGAGCCGCGTCGGCGTAAGTTTGCTATTCAGTGCCGCAGCGACAGGGACGGACGATAAAAGGAAAGAAGTGGGACTTTCAGTTTCCATGATCTTAAATTCTTTTTCTTGATTTATTAAAATTATGAAAAAAAAAACAAAAAAGAAATAATACCCTATATATAAATAAATTTTGGAGTCATAAAGAATAAAAGAAAAGGGGTTATGTTATGTTAAGCCTGTAAATTTTAATCGAAATTAAACCTTCCGAACCAAAATCGGAGTTTTCGATCCGATTTCAAAAAAATAAATAAGGAATCAAAATCCAAACGTGACTTGGTCCGAGTCAATTCGTATTTCTTAGACTTGTGTCTGGTTTTGATTTTTTTAAGATTAAAATAAAAAAAATTGATCGTTACCTTATCTATGAGGACCCTACATGAGAGAGAGGCAGTCAACTATTACGGTTGAAACTCATGGCAACGATCAGATAATGGCTAAAAATCATATCAAAATTTAGAAATAGACACAACCTTAAACTAGAATCTTTAGTATCCAAATAGAACCGATTTTTTATTTACAATTTAAAAGTTAGTAAAAGAAATGCAAAACCTACAAATCTAATTGTAGTAATTTATCTAAAAATCTAGACTCTAACCCTAAAAAAATATAGTAATGTTATTTATCCACATTGGGGTTACAAACACAGTTTATGTGGCGTTAATGTGACATTAAATGATATGTAGTCATTTAATTTCACATTTCATTTAACCTATCATTTAGAACCATCTAAACTGTGTTTTTAACACCACTGGAAATTAATAGCATTACTCAAAAAAATATGACCAACTTTTTTATCTCCTGAGTCACGTAAGATTGTTGCATTTAAGATATTGGCACGTGTTAATATTTTCAATTTGAACTTTGTATGGATTAAAAAGTTCAAGATATGTTTGTGGTGTAAAATGATGAATCAAAGAATTCATTCTTTATAATTCGAGATTTTTACTTTCTTGCATTGTTTACAAACTTAACCGATTTTTGAATTTTTTTATAATGCGTGACAATTGAACTTGGTATACTTATACCATGGGTCATGGTGTACATTTTTTGCAATCTTGAGTCCGTGGTTCTCTTTCAATTTTTCTTTTTTTATTCAAACAGAGTAAGTTCAGTGAGTAGGCTTTAATTTCACAGTATTATATAGTTATGTATTTAATTAATATTTTTTTATGTCAGTTCTTTTGAAGAGTGGAAAAATTTAAACATTATCCATAATTAATTTATATATTATAGTATGCATCACTTATGGAACGAATATGATTTATTAAGAAAAAATAATTTGTTATCGAACTATGATTTAAATTTTTCGTGATTTTTAATCTCCACTATTTTACTTCTTGAAAACTTCTTAGCTGAATATTTCTCTTCCACGAATATTGTCGAGTAGTAACATGCTATGTATGTATTGAAATGACCTATATGAAAAAAATGTTTATTAAATTTATATAAAAAATGTTACGAGTAGAATCGAATTCGAATAGGAATTGACGATTCTATTTGGTTCCATAATTATAAGGTCCCGAATGGTTCTAATTTCGAATACCTAATATATGGTATGTAGTTTAGGGTATTGAAATACTCGGATCAATCCACCCAACACTCATGCCTAGGTTATGTTGTCACCAATTTTTTGCTTCCAATAGGGTCACTTGGAGAAAATTTGATAAAAATTTAAGTTAAAATTAATAATTAGTTTAAATCACATATAGATATTTTATGAAATTCACAATTTCATCAATTTTTGAATCGCACGATTTTATCAAAATTTACTAATAAATTAATTTTTAGCAATATCGAACAACTACTTGTTACGTCAACCTCATTGTCCACTCACACACACCCATATATAAAAGTAAATTAATTTATCAAACGGTAAAGTATTCTAAAAAGGTCATATTAACTGTATTACTTTAAGCATATTTATTAACTTATGTAATTAGATAAATTTATTTCTGCTACTCTGCTTTATTGTTCAATATAAAGTTTTGATGAATTTACTAATATATGAGTAAGCCACATATTATTTGCGATGTGACGCTTTTTTACATATCAAGATACGAATTATCAAACATTTTATATCTCTGTGTCAAAGCTTCTTGATAAAAATTTTAGAAATCGTATAAAAAAAACACACTATTTAAACTGTAAAGCTTACCCACCACATATTTTCTACACCCGGCTATATATGCATTGTGTCTCTATTTTTCGTTGTTTAAGACACCACAAGATATAAGGTATATAAAGAGAGACTTGAAAAATTGAATAATACGACAAATATATGTAAATGATCGTTGGATAAGTAGGTGGTACTTGCGAGTTCAACAAATTATGTAGATGAAAATTCGTTTGATCGATTATATACTATTTAAATCAGTGTTCTAAAATGCGCGTAAATGCGCCGCCAGACGGCGCATTTGCGTGACCAAAACGCGTCGAATTCGGGAATGCGCTGGAAAATACGTTTTCCATCTAAAAGGCGGCGCAATGCGCGCTCCTAGGCGCGCATTATGCCGCCCAATTTTTTTTTTCTTTCTTTTTTTTTTTTTGTAAAAAATCTAATTTTTTTATATAAAAATATATTTAATACCTTAAAATTACGAAACGCATTATGGCGCTTACTCTTCGCATTGACACACGCCTAAACTTGTGATTCTTGATTCTCGACCTCAACGCATCGCAACGCATTATACATTTTAGAACACTGATTTAAATAATTAAACAAGGGTTGAATTTTCACGAATAGGGTATATCGTAGTCCAGGAGCAACAAGAGTTTAGTTCATTATAACCTTAAAAATATCCAAAAATGTGTGAATATTCAAACAAAACTTAAGGAGGAGAACCTGAGAAGAAATATAAATAATTGATTTGGAGTTGAAGATTATACGTTTTTTTCCCCCTCCTAAACGGTGTTTTCAATCTTCATTCTAGTTTTTTACTATGCCCTTGCTTTAGCTTCATTTTTTGAGAGAATAGTTTTTGTAATAGTAAATTTTCGGAGAATATGTGATTAAAAAGTAGAGAAAAAATTTAAGTTTACGTGTAAAATAATTTTATTGGAATAATACGTTGATGAAATCGAGTTTTGAGACAATGAAGCTCAAACAAGTTATAGGTTTCATTTTAGAATGCTACAATATTTTTTATCGCACAAGTAAGGGTGTCAAAACGAACTCACACTACATGTAGCTCTGTTAGTTAAAATAGGGCAAAGGACCAACTCAATTAGAAGCCTAGAGGCTCGGTCGCGTCGGCCCTCGCCTCCAAGACACGCACGCCTAGGGCTACTCACGGGGTCTTTAGATGCAAATCAGATTGAAATTTATTTATTTATTTTTCTCTACATTGAAGGCAAATGTTAGAGATCATTTGTGCAAAATCCCTTTTATAAAGAAATAATCTATATTTATGTTTAAATTAAAAGGAAACGGGTAATTATATTCGTAATATGATTTCTATTTGTAGTACCACATTTTAATTACAACGATTATTTAAATCTTTACTCTTTGTCGCACTTATACCTTCAACTTTTTTCATTTCATGATCATCGTTAACATTTCCATTAATTATTACATTTTGTCTTAGGGCCGAACTTGTACACAAGTAATGTAGGGGCAATTCTTTCACACGCGTATTAAACTAAGAGTGTGTTTGTGCCCCATTTTTTGAAAGAATGAATTTTGTAATAATGATATTTTGGAAAATGTATTATTAAAAAGTATATAAATTTTTTGAATTTATACGTAAAATTATTTATTTGAAAATGAATTTTTATATAATGGGGCTCAAATAAATGCTTAGATGCTAGCCCTTATTTGATTATCATTTTTCTTAAATTCATTTTCAATAACACATTCTCATAATAAGATATTTTACACGTAAATTCAAATTTTTTCTACTTTATAATTATATTTTTTTCAAAAATTCACTATTATAAAATTTATTTGGATGAAATAATGAACATCAATTTGGTGGGTTTAATTTGATACAAACATAAAAAATCTAGACCAAAACGACACAACCCTTGAAATCAAAGAAAATGACAAAACAATTATTCAAACCGAGGACACGTGTAAGATCCAATTTCCATCAACAAAAGTGCACTTGGATTATCACATCCTAACAATTATTCTTTTCTTGTAATCTTGTTTTCATTTTTCGTGAGCCTGCGCTGCAGCGATTAGTCTAGTCGTCTCAAAAATCAAAAAGTCAAAAACACGCAAAGTGAATAGCAAAGTCTTCCTCTCCAAGATTTTTCAGTTTCCACCTTCAATCCTAAGGTAGTATATTCTCCACACTTTTTCTATCCTCTATCAATATTCTCGATTTTGATTTGATCGGATCGGTCAATTGGTTTTTGTAATTTTTTGTTCTTGCTTTTCTTTCTGTAGATATAGATATTTATGCGATCTCTGTTTTATGCACAGTTATTTCTATTTTTCGCAATATTTTAGTCACCTTTACGTCAGTATAATCTGACCCAGATAGAAGATGAAGCCAGTATTACATTTATCATGATCATATTTGGGATTGTACGATGGGTTTTGTTTTGGATTTGTTACCTTTAAGCATTTAATTGATTTTTTTTAAAATTTTTATTTTTTTTTAACTGTGGGTAGTAGCGGTTCTAGTCGTCAGTGTATTAAAGAACTGATGAACATTTGTTTTTGATTTTTCTTAAATTTTTAGGTTTCGTGGGAGGGCCTATAGATCTTGGTATTTGAGAAAATGAGCGACAATTTGATGGAAAAAGTTAGCGCATTTGGCGAGCGCTTGAAGATTGGAGGGGCTGAGGTGGGACAAAAAATCAGCGAGGGTGTGAGCTCAATGAGTTTCAAGATGAAGGAACTTTTCCAAGGGCCAAACCAGGCCGACAAGCTCGTGGAGGAAGCCACAGCTGAAACTCTAGATGAGCCCGATTGGGCCATGAATCTTGAACTCTGTGATATGATCAACCAAGACAGGGTCAATAGTGTTGAAATGATACGGGGAATTAAGAAACGGATCATGTTAAAGACCCCTAGGGTCCAGTACTTGGCTCTGGTATTGCTTGAAGCTGTTGTGAAGAACTGTGACAAGGCATTCTCTGAGCTTGCGGCTGAGAGAGTCCTTGATGAGATGGTGAAGTTGATCGATGATCCTCAGACTGTAGTCAACAATCGGAACAAGGCTTTAATGCTGATAGAATCATGGGGAGAGTCCGCGAATGAACTGCGCTACTTGCCTGTTTATGAAGAGACTTACAAGGTATTCCTGAAGTTTCTTTTTGACTTGATTAATATAGAAAAGTGAGCAATGAAATCACATCTTTTAGGATTATTTAACATTTAATTAAGTAAATTGTGTTTGTCTAATTGTTCAATAGATTTTCAAATTCTGGGATACTGATGAGTTACCCTGGTCTAAGTGACTCTTTGCTATATATTTCATGGAGTTGTGTTCCGATTTCTTACCATTTTCCCCACATTTTTAGAGTTTGAAGTCAAGAGGAATAAGGTTCCCTGGCCGCGATGAAGAGAGTTTGGCTCCTATATTTACTCCTCCCAGGTCGGTGTCAGCTTCAGAATCAAATGCCAATGGTGCTCAACAGTTCCATCCCGATATCCCTGTGCAATCCTTTTCAGCTGAACAAACAAAAGAGGCATTTGATGTGGCTAGAAACAGTATAGAGCTGCTTAGCACTGTCTTGTCCTCTTCACCACAACAAGATGCTCTTGAGGTAATTTTACCGACTTAGCTCTTGTTTGAGCCCCATTTTTATTTTAAAATGAATTTTGTAATAGTGATTTTTTTCCCGGAGAATGCATGGTTAAAAGTAAGAAAGTTTTTGATTTTTGTGCAAATTATTTTATTGATAGAATGTGTGGTTGTAAGTGAGTTTTTTAAAAAAATGAGTTATTGGATAATGTGGCTTAAACAGGGGCTTAATTTCATTATATATTTCATTTGAAATTTATTTTAACATGTAGCATTGCCACTCGAACAAAAGTTACACGAGAAAGTGTCCAGATGAGAGTAATTTGTATCTGTTTGCTTAAAGTTTCACAGAGTGCTCACAATCTGACCATGTTAGAGTAACCTGCATTCTCCCAAATCCAGTACTAAGCTCAAAAGTTCCATTGAAACATCACCCGGTTCATTTTAGACAGTTTAGATGTTGTAACAGCATTTAGATTTTAGAGCACCACGAGCAAACGTTGCCTTATAAAGCCGTGTATATTTATCAACAAATCTCATCTGTGTTTAAAGGAAACACCATCTAGAGCATAAAGTCCGGTCTGGTAGCCAATCATCAGTGTAATTGATCCAATTCAGACAATGCCATTACCTCAACACATGCACGTTTGGCTAGATGTGAAAAAGATTTAGTTTTATTTTTGATATTGTATTATATAAAATTGCATAAATTATTCAGTGTGTTACCAGGTAGTATATTAGAAAATATTGCATTATAAAAAACTTCATCCATTTGCTCTTTGCATCATAAGCAACCTTTTTCTTTTGGCTTGTGCCGTGCCTGTATATTTGCATGTAGATGAAATCTCACACGCATCAAAGTAAAGCTTTTTTGGGTAATCATAAATTTTTCGTTTTTGTGCCTTTGTTGCATAAATTCACTGGCTTTTAAAATCTTAGTCCCTATTTGACAATCATTATTTGGATAAAATAGAGTTTTGAATAGTGTCTTCTAGGAGAATGTGTAGTTAAAAAGTAGGGAAAAATTTAGAGTTACGTGTAGAATATTTAGGGTGTGTTTGAGCCACATTATTTTGGAAGAATGTATTTTGGAATAATAGATTGATGGAGAATGTGTGGTTGAAAACGAAGGAAAAATTATTGACTTTGATGAAAAATATTATTTTATTGAAAAATGCGGGGTTGAAAATGAGTATAAGAATGAAAATGAAAATTTTAATGTGGCTAAAACGGGGGCTTATTGTGAGAACGTGTGGTTGAAAATGAGTGTAGAAAAAAGAGTGAAAATAATGGTTTTCAAATATGGGCTTTTAGGGCCATTGTTTCTTTTTACCTAAGGAGCTCATGGGAACTCCGAACTTCCCTAACTTTAGCATTTTTCCCATATGATTTTCTTCTCACCCCTTTACCTAGAATTATTCAATATTATTTCTCACAACATTTTGAATGACGATTGAATGTCATATGTCAAATCGACATTTTCAGAATTATTTTAAAACCTACAATCTCATCGTTTAGCTGACTTTACACATTAGGTTTGTGTTTGGTGCACCGGATTAGACAAATGAATATAGTATCAAATTATAATAGATACTACTAGGTAGATGGTATTGTGGTGGATAATACTATTTATTTTTTCATTTAAAAGAATGTTATTTACTATGTCTTTTCTTATTTGGCCTAAACCCATTTCCACGATCCGAATTATGGTATATGGTAGGCATTCTCTTGAATGAAAAATCAAAGAATACTATACACCTAAATCACCATACTACCATCTACCTAATACTATCCAGTATAATTTCTACTAAATTTCTTCTATGGTCTAATCAGGTGCCCCAAATGCAACCTAGTTGGATAATCTTCATCGTAACCCATCCTTGCAATATGTGCCCTATGTTTATTTATACCATACCGTTCCATGTTTTGCTGCATCTAGAAAATGTTTAAAGGTTGTACTCCCTTGGCTCTAGATGGTTTGTTTGTTGTTAAATTACGGGTATTTTATTTATTTCCTCACATGAGATCACTTTCGATTTGTTGAGTAGGATGACTTGACCATCACGCTTTTACATCAGTGTCGTGAGTCCCAATATACTGTTCAGAAAATTATTGAAACAGCTGGAGATAATGAGGCCATGCTCTTTGAAGCACTAAATGTGAACGATGAAATTCTGAAGGTATTGTCAAAATACGAAGACATGAAGAAACCATTGGTTGTTCAACAGGAGCCAGAACCTGCTATGATACCCGTAGCTGTTGAGCCTGATGATTCACCCCGTGTAGGAAAAGAAGAAACTTTAACAAGAAAACCAGCAGGTGTTCGGACTGGGAGTCAGGGAGGGAACAACGTTGACATGATGGATGATCTTGATGAAATGATTTTTGGAAATAAAGCTGGTGGCACATCTGAAGCAGGGTCGAATCCGAATAAAAAGCAACAGCCACCTAAAGATGATCTCATTAACCTTTGAATCGAACACATGATATTTGCAAATTAATGAAGCCTTCGACAATGTTGATGTCGGGCTCGTTTAGGTAGTGTTGATATTTAGTGTTGCTTGAACCATCAAGAGACGAAGGAACTACTACTATTTTTTCGTACGAGAATAAAACTTTTATTTGCATTATATGAACATATTTTTGTAAACTATTTGTCGATTAATCTGCAAAATAATTGCTTGAAAAACTATAGAAAGATTTTCTACTATCTTGTGTAGATGAATATTTGAATGCATAAATAAAGTCCACTCCATTTCTGTTATGGGCTCATTTTTTTTATGCCATTTGAAGGATCCATTCCAGGGTCAGATCTAGAGAAATGATTCACTAAACACTGATTCATTCATGTACAAGTTAACGGTGGATTTCAGACATGTTTGAGCCACTTTATTGTAGAATAAAAATGAAAAATATAGTCGTTATTGGAACTCACACAAGAAATAAAAAGTTTAAATTTAAATATTGATGTGATGGATAACGGTCATATTTTTCATTTTAATGAGATAAAAAGTTAGCCCAAACGCGAGGGCTCAATATTTGAATCAATTTTTTTGTCGACTAATAATTATTAATGTGTCATGTCAGCATGTTGTGGTCAATGATAAATTTTTAGGAAAATGATGAAAGAACATGGCCAAATCCAGGGAAAAAGAAGGCCGTTGTGTCAGAACTTGATTGAATGATTTTTGTTTTTATTTTTCAAACTAGCCAATGGTGTATGAACACGTGTTCCCGGGATTTGAGCACGGATTTAACTCTGGATGTGTAACAAATCGGAAAAGGTGAAGTGATGAAAATACTCTTTTAATTGGCGTCCATTTGGTCCCTTTATTCCACGTTATAATGAGATGAATAATAATTTTTTGAAGAAATGTGCAGTTAAAAAAAAAACTTTTGGATTTATGTATCATTTTTTTTATTAGAGAATATGTGATTGATAACATGAAAAATAAAAATGAATTATAATTTAATGAAAAATAATGGGAGCCAAATGAGGACAAGTTCTTTCATTTTTAGATTAACTAACGATTGAATTAATCGTTTTGTTCGTTTTGTCCTTGTGTTGTGACTATCTTAAAGCTTTGGGATGGTGCGTAGCATAAATGAAATGTTTGAATAAAGTTTGGAAAAAAGAAATTTGGGATTGCTGCTACAATTATCCAACAATTTATAAAGCACGTGTTTGGCAGTAGTACTAGTAGTGTTGAGTAGATGGCATCGTGCGTATGTGTAATTCAGTGAATGGAGATGGCCGGAAAACGCCATTCCTCCACCCCCAAATTTCACCAATCTCCGCTTCTGATCTTCATTCTCTCACTCCTCGCTTTCTCTCTCCTCTTCTACGTTTTCTCCCCTTCCCCTACAGTTCCCCACGCCACTCTAAACCGTAATGTTGATTACTCCTTCGTATCCTCCCTCGAGAAATTCCTAATCAACTCCAAATTTCATACTACAGTTACGGATGATACCGTGACTGGTACTGTTACCCAACAGGATGTTGAAAAAATAGATGTTTTGATTTCACGAAAACAGACTCGAAGGATTTATGATGATTCGTTTTATCCCCCATCTTCACCTATTAGGGTTTATGTGTATAATATGCCGCCGAAATTTACTTATGATTTGCTGTGGTTGTTTCGAAATACTTATAAAGAGACCCATAATCTCACTTCCAATGGCAGCCCTGTTCATCGATTAATTGAACAAGTAATTCGTTATTGATTATTCCGAATTTTTTTTTAATGATTTCATATGAATTTATAATTTATGTGGAATTTTTTTTTGGTAATTTGCTGTTGTAGCATTCAATTGATTACTGGTTATGGACTGATTTGATAGCACCGGAATCTGAGAGGTTGTTGAAGAATGTAGTTAGAGTTCACAAGCAGGAGGAAGCTGATTTTTTCTACATTCCATTTTTCACGACGATTAGCTTCTTTTTGCTGGAGAAACAACAATGCAAGGCCCTTTATAGGGTGTGAGTGCGTTCCCAAATACTTTTGCTTTTTATTCTTTCCTCTTGCTCATTTGAATGATTACTTGCACCTATTTTACAACTAATGGAAGCCCTAACTGAAATAAAAGAGATCTAGAAATCAGTATGCTCTTGCAGTTAGCGAGTTTGTGCATTTTAATGGCGTTTCATCCCTTGTAATTGACCGTGAATTATGAAAGTTGACCATTGGGGAACCTTCACTTCTCAGCAAGAATTGTTGGATGATATCATGTACTGATATATAACATTCTGTCTGTTGCTTAATCTCCTGTAAAAATTTAAGCACTGTGAAGGGTAATTTTAAGAGTTGCTGTAGCCTGTATGCTCTGGATTTGATAGCCATTCATCATACTCATCCTCTTAATAAGATTTAAATATACTATGTGACAGCAGGTAAGCTACCCGTGAACTTTATGTAAGGTTCATTTGAATGTATCCAGCTTCTGTTGGCATTCTTTTTATCTGGTGCGTGTAAAATTTAACATGTTTTGGCATTTTTGGAAGTACATATTTTTCACGGGACGAGATCCGAGAGGATAGTGAATGTTGATCTGTTGGGGGTAGAATATTTGCATGTATGAAGGGGTTTCTCATTCTATCAGTATAACTAGGTATCTATTTTTAGATGTGTAATATGATGTCACATATGTTAAATCTAAAGCTGAAATTTGGGTTCTTTTGGAACTCTAAATCTAGATGATAGGTTCTCAGATGAGGACCAAAAAAAGGATTTTGTTTACTGTCTCTCTGTTGTCCTTGACATTGTTGGGTATCTCTACTTCAACACTGTTCTGTTTGGACTTTACTTGCTAAAAAAGGAACCTGTTTCATCTTGAAATTCTCAGATCCATGTAGGTTGTAATCATATAAGTGGAATGTCTAACAATTTGTGAATGTAGGAAGCCCTGAAGTGGGTCACAGACCAGCCGACATGGAAGCGGTCTGAGGGTAGAGATCACATACTTCCAGTTCACCATCCATGGTCATTTAAATCTGTTCGCAAATTTATGAAGAATGCGATTTGGCTCCTTCCAGATACGGACTCAACAGGAAACTGGTGAGTGTTTGACTTCAGTTGTGAGTAGTGCACTAAACATATTAATTTATTGCTGCTGATATTTGACTGTTTTTGGCTTTTTAAGGTACAAGCCCGGACAAGTTTACCTTGAAAAAGACTTAATACTTCCATATGTTCCCAATGTCGATTTGTGTGACTCAAAATGCTTTTCAGATTCAAAGAGAAACACACTGCTATTTTTCCGTGGAAGGCTGAAACGAAATGCTGTAAGGTTTCATCCCAGGATCAAGAAAATTGTTTATTTCTGTTTAGATGGTTCTAATTTCCTACTAAAATCCATTATATATTGAATTAGATGGGGTCAACAAAGGATGTGACAGGGGGTGGGTGGGTTGGGGGTGCACTAAGGATGTTATATTAAAGTGTCCTAGTTATCCAATTCATTTGGACAGGGCATGCATATATTTCATTTCCTGTCTGTCAAACTTCTTAGAATTTAATTTTATGCTTCCAGGGTGGGAAAATTCGTGCTAAACTCATGACAGAACTTAGCAGTGCCAAGGATGTGGTTATAGAGGAGGGCAGTGCCGGAGAGACAGGAAAAGCAGCAGCTCAAAGTGGCATGAGAAAGTAACTTTTGAACTGTATGCCTACTGATGTTTCAGCATTATAGTAAATAAAAATGATGTTTCTTATCTACTTTGTTGCTTTGTTGGTGAGCAGGTCTATATTTTGCCTTAGTCCAGCTGGTGACACCCCTTCATCCGCTAGATTGTTTGATGCAATTGTCAGTGGGTGCATTCCTGTTGTAATTAGTGATGAATTGGAGCTTCCTTTTGAGGGCATACTTGACTATCGGAAGGTAAGCATGTATTTGGCCATTCAAATTGTTTTTTCAGTGCATCTCCTACATGGATAACATGAGTTGATGACTTGAAAGAAGAAGGATCAACATAGTATATTCATAATCTGAAATTTCAATTTTCCGATAAATTACTTGAAAGAAATACTAGGATTGATGTCATAAGATTTGAGAAGTAGATTGAAGAAATTAATGAAATGGCTTTGAGAAGATTTCCCACATGAATTTTATAACATAAATATAATAATAGCTAGTGAATTTTTTTAAGCAGCAGCTTTGTCATAAAATTATATGTTACGTGTTTTATATTAATAAAATTCTTCACGAGGCTTTTGTTTGATGATGGAGGGTGTTGTTTTACTTGCAGATAGCTTTATTTGTTTCTTCTGGCGATGCATTGCAGCCAGGATGGCTCTTGACATTTCTGCGAAGTGTTAGTCCTGCTCAAATCAGAGAGATGCAATTGAATTTAGCCAAGGTATGTGCATCCCCAATTTGTTAACATAGCTAATCTCACTCCCCATGCTTCAACCTATCGTTCGTGTTGGAATTAGGGCTGCAATGATTTCTTCTTACACCATTTATAATATATGAAACAAACTTCCAATCCCCGGACACCATGTGTTCAGCTACTTTGATTTGTTTTCGATTGCTGGATCTAAGTTGGTAAAACCATGTGAAATTGAATTGAATTTAAACATTGTTACATTGCAGCACTCGAGACATTTCTTGTATTCTCACCCAGCTGAACCAATGGGGCCAGAGGACTTGGTTTGGAGAATGGTGTGTTACTCTTTATGTTTATTTACTCTTAATATGCTGCCATCATTATTTAGTGTTCTTTTGCTTCAATCTGTAAAATTATTTTGCAAGAAGTGACGTACTAAGAGTTGGTTTTTCACACAGTCCCATTGATGGATGCTACACTTTTTAATATGTGTATTTTGTCTGAAGGAATGGTGGCTTGGTTTTGGCTGTTTGCCCCATGCTTAAGAGTAGAATAAGATAGATGGACCCCTTTTCTGGGTGCCTCTTTTGAACTTCTGGATATTCTCTCTCCCTATTTTGGAGGGTTGGATGGGCACTCACTTTACGTGATAAAAAGGAGACCTTTTTTTGTCGACCCTTTTTTTATTATTGTCCACTGTTAGAAAGGCATCGATGTGATTCTGAAAGCTTGATACTTATATATTGAGTTTTTTACAAAATGGGAGGAACAGAGATGAAGTTCAGAATTTTGATATTAATGTGGTATCATTCTTCTTCCTTTAAATCTCAATGACACACAGCAGGCATTGCGAACATCAACAATAGCAAAAAATGGGAATACTAGTAGAGTGTGATAATAAGATAAAGAAGAATAGTTTGCATTGATAGTGTGTGTTGTTCTTGTTTGGATTGGGGGGGACCTTCTCTATTCATAGCTTGCTTAGGATTTCATTCCTTCTTCGCAAGTGCTGGTTATTATGATGGTGTTGAATGAAAGAGTACCAAGCAGGCATCCAAGTTTTAAACTAATAATTCTGATTCCTGGTGGTGTGAACAGATGGCCGGTAAGTTGGTGAACATGAAGCTTCATGTACGGAGGTCACAGCGTGTGGTGAAAGAATCAAGAAGTCTGTGTACTTGTGATTGTAGACTTGCCAATAGTACAAACCCACATCTCTTTTCTTAATTCTTTATTGCAGCGTCTTTCCGTTTCGCTTCTCTTTCTTCTTGTATTGTGTATCTCAATTCTTGGAACAATATAGTGTAAGACCATTTGGCTAAAGTGTTATGTATAACGTTATTTTTTCTTTTCATGCGAAATTCAATTCACGTAATCAAGTTCATTGTGTGAACATCATCCCATTATGCAGCTGTCTTCGAACTTGATAACTCGTTTATTATTTCTCCTTTGGCATTTTTCAAATATTTTAATTGTTCGAGAGAGAGAGAGAAAATGATATGGCATGTGATGAGGCCAAGTTTTTCCAATTCCACGCCTCCAACCTTAAATTACGGAATTTAGGGCCCACATGGTTAGAGCCTGGGACGTGCAAACCATGAAAATCATAATCATTGTTTTATATTATATTGGTTGTTAATTAGTTGTTTGTCACATGCCATTGAAACTTCCAGGTAACGGATCACCGACGGACGTACTGGACTAATTATTTCCAAATTAACTTATATATAATTTTGTAAACAATGTGATTAAACTACGAAATGGTATCCTCTCAAACAATATATTACGAATAATTTCGCGTCACCGTCTCCCATTCTTGCATTTTCATATTCATCGATTTCAAATTTAGAATACTTATATTTATTAATGAAATATTGAATTTAGAAATAAGATGTTTGACCTGTTTTGTCGACACGAGCACCTATGATATTTATCTAAAGTTGAGCCCTTGTTTGATTTTGCTAAAAATTAAATTTTCAGTAGATTTTGATAAAAATGATGAAATGCTTGATTTAAAAGTTGAATGTTCCCTAAAATGCGCGATTTTTATCAAATTTTTCTAGTTAAATCAAACAGGCTAAATGGGATTTTAGAAATTGTTTCATATTTTGCAAATATTATGACTATATTTTCATTTATTTGTTTTTCTATCATTTGACTTTAAAGAGGACCATAAAGAAATCTTTGCACGAACAACTGTAAATGTGTCATCGTGTGCCAACATCCTTAAAGACAGTAAAACGGTGCCCTGTCAACTGTGGTAACTAATGACATTGTACTACAATATAAACACACAGGGTCAGAAGGAGAGGAAGAAGCTCTCTTTTGAAGAAAGTGGGGAGCCGTCCCGGCGGTGGAAAACCCATGTCATATATGTTTGTCTGAGTCTCGACCCCAGTTTTAAGGTATAATAGTACATTGTTTCAATTGATATATACATCCTTTCAATATGAATATCAATACGTGTACTCGGAGCTTGTTGTCCATAACTAACAAGCATAAAAAGCAGTTCAATTATTTTGTTCGTTACTGGAAGGAATATGAAGCTGATTGTTCTTTCTTGAAATGGTGCTCTGATCTTTCCTTTTTACTCGCTACTGTGTATGTGTATCACTTTTTCCTTTTCAAACTTGATTTTCTAAATCTTTATTAAAGATCTGATTGTAATTTATAGATATTGTTTCCGGATTGCTCAGTAGATTGAAGCTCTATGCCTTTATTCTGACTTTAGGATCCAATTCAGACAATGCCAAATATTTTCTTTAGATCTTGTTAATATTTCATTTGACTAAATTTGCTCGTGATTCGCCTAGAATTCTCTCTCTCTCTCTTGCTGTATTTAGCTTTGAATAGATTGTCAATCATAGGAAGAAAGCTACAGATAAAATAGAATTCTACTAATCTGTAAATGTGGTGCAGGGCCATCGAGTGTAGATTCTAATACTAGTATTTGAAAATGGCATCAAAATCATTCAAGGCGAGCAGATCCAATCTATCAACAGCATCATCGGATGTGCTGGATTCGCATAATGGTAAGCCTCCACTGCCCCCACATGTGACATTTGCTCGGAGGACTTCATCTGGTCGATATGTCAGTTACTCAAGGGATGATCTTGATAGCGAACTCGGAAGTGTTGATTTTATGAACTATACAGTGCACATGCCTCCAACTCCGGATAACCAGCCCATGGATCCCATCTCTCAAAGGGTTGAAGAGCAATATGTGTCGAGTTCACTGTTCACCGGTGGATTTAACAGCGTTACACGAGCTCATCTTATGGATAAGGTTATTGAATCAGAAGCAAACCATCCACAAATGGCTGGTGCCAAAGGGTCGTCTTGTGCAGTTCCTGGATGTGATGGCAATGTCATGAGTGATGAAAGGGGAAATGATATCCTCCCGTGTGAGTGTGATTTCAAGATATGTAGAGATTGTTACTTGGACGTGATCAAAACTGGAGATGGGATTTGCCCGGGGTGTAAGGAGCAGTATAAGACTACTGATTTGGATGAAGCAATGGAAACTGTGCGAGCACTTCCTCAACTCCCACCGCCATCTGGGATGTCGAGAATGGAGAGGAGGTTGTCATTGATGAAATCAACAAAGTCAGCACTAATGAGAAGTCAGACGGGAGATTTTGATCACAACCGGTGGCTGTTTGAAACAAAAGGAACCTATGGATATGGAAACGCTATATGGCCAAAGGAGGGAGGCTTTGAGAACGGGAAAGATGATGACTTTGTTGAACCTACTGAGTTAGTGAACAAACCATGGAGGCCACTTACTCGCAAACTTAAGATTCCAGCTGCTATACTTAGCCCATACAGGTACATCCTCTATCATGTTTTGTTCTTCAAACGTTATGATATGATTCTGGTTTGTACTTTTCTTTCCCATTGTCCTTGCACAGATGTCATGATTATGCAAAACGTCTTATCATCTATTTAATCTTCAGATCGAAAAACTGGTAACGAGCACGGACTTTTTGGTTTCCCTTATAGCTCCAGGGTAGTTGATTCTCAAATGTAGACAGAGTTGTTTGCATCCATCCGATACGTTTTTTAAAATGGGAGCTGATCATCATTTTTTAATTGCATTCTCTTAACTTAATAGTGTTATTGCTAAAGATCTAGTTGATTTGGATATCTCATTAGAACTAGCAATGAATTGAACAGAGTGGAGAAAAATGATTCACTGGCTACATATTTATTGGGAATAAGACTTTGTTGATGTTGTATTAATTTTTATAGTCTTTAGCTCAAAATTCGGATGTTAAGACGCACTTGAGCATCTTCAGATGTTTGGAACTCTCAAAAATGTTGCTGGTGTGTTTTTCACTTTTAACTATAATAATTATAGCTTCAAATACCAAGGGAAAATAGTCATTTTATCGTTTCATGACCATTTGGCACACGACATACATATCATGCGTTGTAGTATGGTCCATATACTGAGTACATGCTAATTTAAACTTTGTACTTCCTTTTTCGTCTCTGCTCACAGGCTTCTTATTGTTATACGAATGGTAGTTCTTGGGTTTTTCTTGACGTGGAGAATCCAGCACCCCAACAATGACGCCTTCTGGCTCTGGGGGATGTCTGTGGTTTGTGAATTATGGTTTACTTTCTCTTGGATTCTTGACCAACTACCAAAGCTTTGCCCCGTTAATCGAGCTACAGATCTTAATGTCTTAAAAGAGAAATTTGAAATGCCTAGCTTAAGCAATCCTACTGGCAAGTCTGATCTTCCCGGCATAGATATCTTTGTCTCTACTGCAGATCCAGAGAAAGAACCACCCCTTGTCACTGCTAATACCATATTGTCTATACTATCTACCGATTATCCAGTTGAAAAGCTTGCTTGTTATGTTTCTGACGATGGAGGGGCACTTTTGACATTCGAAGCCATGGCAGAAGCTGCAAGTTTTGCAAATATATGGGTCCCATTTTGTCGCAAGCACAACATTGAACCAAGGAATCCAGAAACTTATTTCAATCTGAAGAAAGATCCTTACAAGAACAAGGTGCGTCAAGACTTTGTCAAGGACCGCAGACGAGTAAAGCGCGAGTATGATGAGTTTAAGGTTCGGATCAATAGCCTGCCAGACTCTATACGGCGCCGATCTGATGCTTATCATGCAAGGGAGGAACTTAAGGCCATGAAGGAACAGAGACAGACAAAAGGAGATGAACCTGTAGAGGTTATCAAGGTCAAGAAAGCTACATGGATGGCAGATGGAACCCATTGGCCTGGAACTTGGCAGAATCCTGCACCTGAGCACTCTAAAGGTGATCATGCGGGAATAATACAGGTATAACCAAATATTTCTGTGTGCCTGTTCTAACTTGCAATTTAAGCTCAACACCAGAAAGCTTACCGACTGTGAAGAACAAGTGGTCGGTCATATAACTAATAACCTCTTGTTCAAATAATGCAGGTGATGTTGAAACCTCCAAGTGATGAACCACTACAGGGAACAGCAGAAGGTGGGTTGATTGACCTGACTGATGTTGATATTCGTCTCCCCATGCTTGTTTATGTTTCCCGTGAAAAGCGCCCTGGATATGATCACAATAAGAAAGCAGGTGCCATGAATGCTCTGGTTAGAGCCTCCGCAATCATGTCTAATGGCCCCTTTATTCTTAACCTTGATTGTGACCACTACATCTACAACTCCCAAGCCATGAGGGAAGGAATGTGTTTCATGATGGATAGAGGTGGTGATCGTCTATGCTATGTGCAGTTTCCTCAAAGATTTGAAGGTATTGACCCATCCGATCGCTATGCCAATCGCAATACTGTTTTCTTCGATGGAAACATGCGTGCTCTTGATGGGCTACAGGGTCCAGTTTATGTCGGAACCGGTTGTCTCTTTAGGCGGGTTGCTCTTTATGGCTTTGATCCACCTCGGTCCAAAGAACACAGCCCTGGCTGGTGCAGCCGCTGCTTTGGCCGGCGGAGAAAGCATGCCACAGTTGCTAGTTCCCCAGACGAGAACCGATCCTTGAGAATGGGTGATTCTGACGACGAAGAAATGAACCTCTCACTTTCTCCAAAAATGTTTGGAAATTCTAATTTATTGATGGATTCAATACCGGTGGCAGAGTTTCAAGGTCGTCCTCTGGCTGATCATCCAGCTGTGAAGAATGGACGACCGCCAGGTGCTCTCACCTTTCCCCGAGATCTTCTTGATGCGTCGACTGTTGCAGAGGCAATCAGTGTTATCTCCTGCTGGTATGAGGAGAAGACTGAATGGGGACAGCGGATTGGATGGATTTATGGGTCTGTTACAGAAGATGTTGTCACAGGTTATAGGATGCATAACAGGGGATGGAAATCAGTGTACTGTGTGACTAAGCGTGATGCCTTCCGTGGGACTGCCCCTATCAATCTCACAGATAGGCTTCATCAGGTCCTTCGTTGGGCTACTGGTTCAGTCGAAATATTCTTCTCCCGCAACAATGCCCTTCTGGCAAGCTCAAAAATGAAGGTTTTGCAAAGAATCGCGTACCTCAACGTCGGAATTTATCCTTTCACTTCGGTTTTCCTAATTGTCTACTGCTTTCTTCCTGCACTATCCCTGTTCTCTGGCCAGTTTATTGTTCAAACCCTCAATGTCACATTCTTAGTATACCTCTTGATCATTACCGTAACACTCTGTATGCTCGCTGTGCTTGAGGTCAAGTGGGCCGGCATTGAACTAGAAGAGTGGTGGAGGAACGAACAGTTCTGGTTGATTGGGGGGACTAGTGCTCACTTGGCTGCCGTGTTTCAGGGGCTGCTAAAAGTTATTGCTGGAGTCGAGATCTCTTTCACCTTGACATCGAAATCAGCTGGGGATGATGACGATGACGAATTTACTGATCTCTATCTCGTCAAATGGACATCCCTCATGATCCCGCCTATCACCATTATGATGGTTAATTTGATAGCCATAGCAATTGGATTTAGCCGCACAATTTACAGTGTTATACCACAATGGAGCCGTCTTTTAGGAGGAGTTTTCTTCAGTTTTTGGGTTTTGGCACATCTCTACCCCTTTGCAAAAGGGCTTATGGGCAGAAGAGGGAGAACTCCCACAATTGTATTTGTATGGTCAGGACTTATTGCCATCATAATATCCCTCCTATGGGTGGCCATCAATCCTCCAGCAGGCAGTAACCAGATTGGGGGTTCATTCCAGTTTCCTTGACAGTTCCTTTTCGTTTTTCACCGCAGGAGCTTCAGAAATTTCTCGTGCTGTTTTGGTCTATCTCAATACCTTGCTGGCACAAGAAATTCTAAAAAATTCTCTGCTCCAATCGGATGGACTCGAAGTGAGTTTACTATAAATCTATACATCAGTTGAATTCTTTTCTTCAATCAACCTTTTATAAACAACATACAAACTGTTGGTCTCTATACATTGTTTAGTTGTAAGAAATGGCAGAGAACTTTGTAGTTTTTGGTATCACGTTGAACAATATTCATTTATTTTTGATTGTTTGTCTATATTGGTGGACTAGGAATTCTGATAAGGTGCTAAATTTTTGATTGTTTGTCTATAATGAAAGCTATAATTCTTCTATAATGTTTTGCTCTCGATGCTATCCCTAAAGATTGCACTTTCTAGCTACAACGCAGAGTAAATGACTTCCAGTAATTTGGACATCCTTTTGAGGGTTTCACTCAACTCCGCAGGGTTAGAGGATGCTTGCAGTTTTTTTTTTTGAATTCGAACCATATTATATTGAGATAAACCGTCCCATACGAAAGAAGAAATAAACAACAAGAATCAACCCAATGCATATCGCAGGGTAAAGAGGTAGCCATACATGCTAAGTTGTAAACCACTTTATTATCTAGCTAGCAGTATAAAGTGACAAGAAGCTCACATTTGACTATATTAACGTGCGAAGACAAGTTTCACATCAGACAGTGACCATCAGGAAGAGCAATCAACTCGGCTGTCTCTAAATCAAAGATGGCACCTGCAGCAACAACAGAAACTAGGTGGTCGCGGATTAAGCACCCGAACCTATAAATCCCTCCTTGTGCACCGCTGATCAATGTTTAGTTTCAGCATTCCTGCACCAGGAGCACACCAAGAGGCGGATGAATTAGAACCTCCCGTCACCCAGGCAGCAACTATTTTCTCCCCATCAGTAGATATTTGTAGTTAAGAAAGGCACTCTTTCGAATAAATTTAGTTAGTAGTTCGTTTCATCAAAATAATTTTTCAACAAGAGATGTTGCCTAGCAATGCCCAGGTAAGTCAACAAGTCAAGAAATGTGCAGCCCAACATCTTATCTGATGAATGCGAAGAACGTGCAGCCAGTTCGAATGGGTATTACTGAAGCCCGTGTTCACAAATTGCATCGAGGAAATCTTGTTTTTCTCCTACCATACCAGATGTCGCACAAGAGAGGGCGAGCTCTCTCACATTTCAGAGTATTTGGGGTGCCATTGCTCGTGCTTTCTCACAGCAGTAAAGAATTGACTACAACCCAACTTATTCCAGTATCATGTCAAACGCTCCCAAATGCGTAGCACAGTTAAGATCTAAGAAAAAGTCGCAGTGGCACAAGCATCCAACACGCTTGTCCCATTAAAACCTCAGATGCTGTTATTGACTTAATAACTAGTCATCCATCTTCCAAATTTTCCAACAGCAAACTTAGAATTCTCTGCTTTGTAGAAAATTTACAGGTTTTGGGTTCTTACTTTTGGCATAGAACTCGTAACATATTCCACAACACAAATAAACCTTTATTCATAACCAACAAATTCACCTCACAATCACAGATTACGTCGAAATAGTGAAATTAGCAAAAAAATGAAAAATGGATAGAACTACTGAATTATAACAATTGAACCAAAATTCGAATAACTTGTTACCAAGATCACGGTGCTCGAAATTTTATCTCTTAGCTAGAATAAAACACTAGCAGATGGCACCAAACGGTACAAGTACAGCATGAATGAGACAGATCACTTTCTCATCAATACAAGGTGCCACAAGCCAACAAAAAAGGCAGCAAGATAACAGACCTCTCTAAATTCCAAGATACATAATTGTTCTATAAAAAGCCAAAACAAAAACGATTTCTGCACAACCTGCAATGTTGTATACACTAGACCTATTTTGAATTGCTGAAAGCCACACCTGATGAGGCCATTTCAACAATCAGTTCAAACATTCCTCAATTACAATGGCACAAGCTGTATTTCCTACATTACAATCTAATTACTCTACACCCAACAAATGTTTCCTTGAGCTGCGAATCCATTGTGCCTGGGCACCTCCACTGCTCACCGCTTCAAATAAGACAACAATCTGGGCATGTGACAAAAAGAACTGGGGGAAGAAAAATACAAATCAGACCTTAATATAATTTATGTGAGTGAACTCTGTGACAAACCCCAATTTAGAGTTAAAATCCATGAAACTAGGTTAACGCAGCAAGATTTTCCGACATTTACAAGTCCACCATCTCATCTTGTATCTCATTGGGTGCAATTAGGCCTGGAATGGAAAGCATACGTTGTCGCTCCCTTTCTTGCTGAGCAGCAGCCTCCTCCGCATAGAGATCTTTGTTGTCCTACACCATGGTTTTATAGTTGAAATAAGATTTGCAACATGCCAATAGAGCAAGATTAAAAAACCAGCTACCTTTCATGTAAAACGCCAACGGTGTTTTCGGTAGAGGTTTGCATGGTACAGAATAATATTAAAGTTAAAGTACTTAAAATCTAACTTCTCCATGATCAGGAGAGACATCTTTAAGCAATATAAATTATTTTCGAATATGTCTTATTCAAAATTCATCATAAATCATTCTTAACCTTATACTATATATTTCCATCCAAGGGCAACAAGGCACAAAGCTTCTATAAACATAAAAAAGGTGCACACAGAACCCTAATCAGATTTTTCTTTCACGCTTATCCTGGACTTCTCAACTGTAGCCCAAAGATTGGACTGAAAAAAGGGAATCAAAAGGAAAAACCCAACATCTCGCCTCCTAAAGGACTTAAGGAAAACTAAAATAAATTATCCAAGTCGAAAACTCCATCCAGGACAGCTGAAAGACAGAATTCATCTAAGGGGTTTTATGAATGTAAAAACAAGTTGAAACCATGAATAGAAGTGTCCACACTTCCCCTTAATATCTTAGCTATCACTTAAAAAAAATTGTGGGGCAGGGGTTGGGGGGTGTTGTGTTCCACCTTGTGAAAGATCCCAGGAAGGGTGGGGGGTAGGGGAGGAGTTAAACGCATGGAACACATTCACTGTGATCAATGCACCATTAAAACTAAACATCTACTGAAGAAACAGAAGGGGGATTTAAACATAAGCCATGGCAATAATGCCTGTAACTGAGTAACACTTCACCTGGGCTGAAAATTCTTTTGATTGCACCAGAAAATCTCGTATGTGATTCTTGAAAGTTGAAAGGTCAATTCGTGACTCAAAGAGTCTGTTCACAAATTGGGTCACCTGAAAAGATCCAGTAAGTTATAAAGCCATTGAACATTGCACTCATATATAAACAATGCTTCACAAGTTTTAACTTTTATACCTCAGTTGTCGTCATATTGGGGAAGGAAGTACTCAAAAGTTTAATGGTATATTCACGGACAAAAAAACCATTATTTGGACAACAATAAGGATCTGTTGAGACGTCACGTAGAGGCTCACTCAAGGAACCAGATTCCACCTGTAATAGATTCATTACGATCGCAATTAGCATGCTATAGGCAAAAGACAACACAAAGGCGAGAAGAAACATGAGCATACATATTACCAGGCAAAATAAGTGCTGCAGCACCAGTACATGCAATTTAAACCCAGGCTTGTGAAAGGAGTCCGTCAAAACAGCAAAAATTTCTTGCTCAATGGTCAAAAAATAACTCTGGTGGAACTGATTACAGAACTCAGAAGCCTGCAAGGTAACCACAGCAAGAGTGATGCTGCATTTAGCATAAATAATCTATACAACACAAAACATACGGAGAAACACACACCTGAAAGTTCTTCAGCATCTCTAATAGAAGGTGTAGTCCAGTTTCAGCAACATTTCGCTCAGTGTGCCGGAAAGCCCAAACGATGGAATCCATCACAAGCTTTAATTGCTGATGCAGACCACCACAGACAAGAATAAAGCACATCGTTATAAAATTGTCGTGGAAGAATATTTGAAGTGAATTGCAGTAACTTAAGCTGAATTCCATAACTCTAATCACCATAAAATCACAAAGAGATTATCACCGTTGAAAGTTTAGAACAAACCTCACTGGACAATTGAATTAAAGCAGGAAAACAGTAAGTAGCGATAGCACGAAGTAATGAAAAGAACTTGAGCCTGTGCTCGGGATAATCTTCAAAGTTCTTCGTAATCATCTGTAAACAATAGTGAAGTCAACTCAGTATCAGGCTTATTCTATTAATATACATCATAAGCATGGAGTAAACTACGTCAGCAAAGTGATTATGACACAACCAGACTACTAAATTTCATTAGGATGAATCGATAACCTCAACTTTCAACCAATATATTTTTGTAACTCAAGACAATTGTATTGTTTCTCAAAATATTATTTTCATTCTTTAGATTCATACATAAATTCAAGCAGATAACTCATAGATTCGTTTTGTAATTTCTTATTTATATAAGTATGAATTGGCGGCCAAACAAGAAAGTGGAGAAGCTCAGAAAAAAGGAAGAGAGAATGGGAAACAATGGCGAACAAGAAAATGTGAAAACAAGGCAACCAAAGAAGAGCGAGGAAAAAGTAGGACAGAGAAACCAGTGAATGATGGAGAGAGAATCAATTCCAAATAAGCATGTGTATCTGCATACGGATGGAGTGTAGAGGTAGAGAGGGAAAGAATGTAGAAAGCAATGCATAGATGCTTCATTTTCAACCTTATCCAATTGGGATGACAGGCAATAATTTTGAATTATTTTGTTGCATGAGTTGGCATATATCTACTTACACGAGTGAGTACATATAGATGTCCATGCATGTGTGTGTGTTCAATGCACACCAGTTTGTGCGTTTGGGGTGGCAGGCAATAATTTTGCATCTAATTTCAATCTGTGGATTAATCAGGAAAACAAAGGAATGTACGGGATAGTAGCTATTAGTTGGCAACTGGCATTATAAAACACTACAAGGATAATACACCGTTTAGAACATAACAACAC